GTAATGGTTGCGAAACATGCCCACTGAGTCAAAGAGAAGAGATAATTCAGCGAAGAGAATTTTCTTTTTCGACGATATCAGTTTCTAAGGCTGTACAATCATATTTATATATATATCGTAAACATATAACAATCTACTATAAAACAATAGGGTAAAAGAAACGGAATCAAGAATGCAAAATAGTTGCGTAATAAACTGAGACAGTAGAAATATCAAGGAAGGCAAGGAGTTTGACAGGGTCGAAAATTGTTGGTAGATAAGAAACGCAAATTCTGAAACATGAGTAGCAGTATCTATGTCTCTGGGGGATGTCGTTCAACAAGCACACATTTATGGATGCTTTAAGCCCTGAGATTTATCACCATCAGGTTTGTGTCACAAATATCTTTGATGTGTGGAATGCAGCTGCAATTAGCTGTTTTACCTAAGTTCTAACTAAACTTAATATCCTGAACATAAATGATATTCCATTTATTGTGCGGCGAAACGTTTAACAGCGAATATATTTCTGGTTATTTGTTGCTATCAGTAAGGTGTGTCAGCAAGCAGAAGAAAACGTGTGCTTCATTAGAGAATTAGCTATTATTCACAGTCTGTTTTACAGTGTCAAGTAGTTCCACTTGTCTTTTTTCAATCTTTTGAAACTTTCGATGAGTTTTTCATTCATTTCTCTAGAACTGATCACTAGATGAGTTTTTATGAATTCATAAACACCGAAAATATCGATAGTGAAACCAAAATGTTAGATTTTTTTTAAAATTGGAGAAAAAACTTTGTTTAACCGTGAAAATATTTTTTTCACTGACCTAATTTGCTTTGAAAACAGTCTCTCTGAGGAAATGTTGTCATGCGAAATAATGGGATCGTAGATCTTCAACACTAGTTTTTTTGGATGCTTACTGCTTCCGCGTAAAGTTCATGTCGACATTATTTACATTTTTTCATTGAGAAAGGTAGTTCGTGGATCATCATTGTGCACTTTGAATACTTCGGTAACGTAAAGAAGTCCATTGTGCTTGGTTCGTTATGCGTCAACTACTTTCTTAGTTAGATTTACTGTTGTTCAATGACTGGAAGACAGGATCTCAGCAATGGAGTGGTTATAATTCCTACTCTCTACGACACCCTTATTTAGCACTATCAAAGTGAAGTGCAACTGAAGGACATCCCATATCTTCACAGCAACATGACTTGCTGAGTAGATGTGTTCCGTAGATTAGCCCAGGAATCGCTGGGTAGAAACCATGAAGACAGCTCATTAAATAAGAACAAATAAACAGTCATCATTCTCAGCATTAGTAATCATCTCTTCAGGCTGATTTCATACTTCGCTGTGTATATTTGTGTGATTCCGGCAAATAAGTCCTAAAACTACAGTATATGGGACTCCAAATATTCATATTGTCTAACAAAACTGAATCACATGATAATATCGAAACTCAATGCATACCGCATGGAAAAGTAAGCCGAACTTTTTACGTTGCTGATAAGTGTATCCCTGCTAGAATTCCTACAATCTTTACCACTGATGTTTATCGATAGATACCTTAACAAAGATGAATTCATGAACTGCCGTTTTTAAGCGGCTTAACATGAAAACATAGATGCACACACAAACATATACATACACAAGTGCTTGAACGCGTGCATACGTACAGCTAATCAACAGACGATATTAGACTTTTGTTCAAAACATATTGTGATTAATTCTGCAATTTTTTCCCTCTTTGCAACATTACAATGCTTAATGAATTAAACGACAAAAAATTCCTAAAGGTTTAATTCCGTCTTCTCCTTTTACTCAGCTCATCCTCCATTTAGTATATTTATTCAGCTTATGTATGCCGTAATCATCATTTCAGAGCGATGTGCGTGGAGAGACCCAGACAGAGATTTGTTAACAATTATGTTTTAAATGCATTATCATGATTTTGAAGCAGCTTTCATCATCGATTGATATCAGTAAAATAATCACGGAAAACCTGTTAGGCGCTAAATATCTGTTTTGTTCCGTTTTGGGACTCCGTTGGCAGTGAGAGTTCATGACTACGTGAAGCTTCGGACCCACGACCTTCAGTTCTAGTCGTGTTTAATTTATCGTTCAGCCAATCAGTCGGAATCCATTGGTCAACGTTTTCCTACTGTCATCAATTCGCAATATAGCACAAACACCATCCAATTCTATCTGAAAGTAATTGACCAAACATCCGACTTGATTAGCTGCGTAGGTCACGGAATTTCACTGGGACTTTGTAAAATTGAGCAGGAAAAATAGTAATCGTTTGCATAGGCAGCTGTGAGGAGAGGATGTAAAGTTGAGAGACTAAAACGGTTTGCAATGAAAAAGGAAAAAAATTTGTGGCTAGCTTGTAATTTTTATGCTAACAACTACCTCTTTTTGAATATAAAATACGCCGATAGGTGCAGTGATTGGTATTACTCCGACAATTCGTCACTTCTCCTTTCCATCTAAAACAGGCTAAAGGCTTTATTCTCAGAAGTCGCAAAAACCTGCTGACTATGTTTGACAGAAGACGATAAAAATTTTGGAAGAAAAAGCAGTTTACCCGATAGTGCTGGAGGTTGAATTAGAGACGCGTCTTGCTTCCTATTTGTCACTTGACACCTAAAAGCCTTCACATACCAGTAGATCTTTCCACTGAAACTCAAACCCAGGATCAAGAGTTTCAAACACCAAAGTTTGATTTACTAGGTCACTGAAGCACGAGGGGCACCTCTCATACAACGAGTAAGAGCTGATTTTTACTGATACTGCTGATTTACCGTTGTCATACTGAATCAGATCGACAAGTCAATAATTAATAATATTGACAGTGAGTGATGATTGACGATGGAATTGAAATTTGGACCGTAGGTGGACTCAAACCAGCAATTACTGGGTTCTTGACCCAATGTTTTACCAACTGAGCTATGAGGCCCGACTGCTGACCAGATTTTTATTTAGTTTTAATTGCCAAAAGTTTTGTCTAACTGCCGTTTGAATTCACGACGTGTTACTATCGCTTGATAGCACTCACACCGGCTACCCGGTCAAAACATCTCACTCTAATCCAAATCCTTACTGAATAAGAGAGAGGGAACATCATACTGATTGCCACTCTGACTATCTGAGAAAACTCAGTTGGTAGGGCATGCGGTCGTAAACTGAGTTGTCGCCAGTTCGAATCCAACACAGTCCAAATTTTAACTTCATCTTTGGTCATCACCTAGCAACAATACTAGTCCACCAAACCATGACTACCTCAGATAGTCGAAATGATAATGATATCTACTTTCCAGTGGGGGACCCTTTCATTTTCTTTGAATTGTATAGTATTAACCACTTCAACCAAAAATAAGAGTTATTTTATCCCTTAATATTGAAGTTTTGAAAATTCAGTGTACCTAGAAAACAGTACACAGCAGCTAGGCTAAATATCATCGAGATTCTCGCAAGCAACTCATTAACCTGAAAGTCTGGCAGAATACTATTATCTGGATTTGACAGATGGCTAGCAGTGGAATTCTACGACATGGATGGTTGAATCCTGCTTCAGTGACCTGGAATATTTGCTCAAACCCTGTGTCACCGAAACTCTTTTGCGTGTCTCCAACCAGTGATTTTGCAAACAAAATAAAATCCAGATGAGCTGTGAGCAGTTACAACAAAACATCTGTCAGTAGGAAATAATCAAGACAGTGAAGAAAGTCAGGTTGCCGGACTAACCACCGACTTCATTGTTTAATTCTGCAACCAATTATGCTGCCACTTATCTCAGTACACTGGGTTATATTGTCACAGAATGTTTTTCCACTATATACTTGTAATGGTGACAAGTTATAAGGAAACACATGATATGAGGCGATCTGCCGTTCAAAACACATTTTTAACGAGTAAATGTCAGGGAGAAGCTTTTGGTTGAAGCTTGTAATTTCCCGTTGCTATACAAGGTCGAACTGCTGGACTTTTGTTGATAAATAGTTCCTTGTGTATATATCTTAACACTGCCGACTGTTCACGATGTTGTATTCAAAACAAATGATACCGACTGTTCAAGTGGTGGTTGTCCTGCCCCAGTACCCTAGTATATAACGCTCTGTAGTTTGAAGCAACAGGTTTCGGATTACAACCTCAATGGAAACAACATCACTTATCAGGCTGCAAGCATATCCAGCTGAGGAGTCAAAAATAGGGTGGAACTCGCATCCTGGACTCCGCTATGAGTCAACAGTATCAATAAAAAACCAGAGAGAAATATCAGCTTCCAGTAGTGCAATATTACAAACATTCTTAATATAATTTTCTAATTTAGGACAAACCTTTTATTGCAACCGAAATGAGATTTGAGGATTTGTATTTTCTTATCTGACAGTTTTTTGAGAACTGCATGTTACTGAAAGCAGTTGATTATTAGTATTTAAAAGGAAATTCAGAATCGGAAGATACTGTAGTTTTCTGTGGTTATCTAAGCAAGTATGTTCTATTCCAGTGACCAACTGATGAGTTTTTCCTTCTTCTGACTTATCACTTTCCACTTGAATAAATTTAAGCTGTCATGCTATACAACTTTTGCAAACCAACTACATTTTCCTTTAATCTAGCAGTTACTGAGTTTTTATTCAGAAAGAAAAAGCATAAAGTCCTGATTTAGGAGGGACTGAGGTGAAGTTCTAACAATTAAACTAGGATAGTATTCATTTCAAACAGTTACGTAATCCTCAACACCTTCATTCTCTTCCGGAAAATTGACAAGCGTAAGTCTGGCTTTCTTTCATGTAGTCAATGATTTGCACCACTACGAAGGTGTAAAATGAAATTCTAGTGCTTTTTAATTAAGTTTCCTGAAAAATATCCCTCTGTAGATCAATCAATACTTCGAAAAACATTAAAATTACTCAGAATCTTTTGTTTCTACTTTTCCTGGTTTCCACATTGATTAAGCTGTCAGTTTCTCATTACTTTATTTCAACTAACCTCTCAATCATGTTTTTTTTGACAGAACGGGTGTATTCGCTCGATCACGTGCACTTGAAGACTGCAGGCAAAGAACGAATGCCATATTAAAAACTATTCAACCGAATCATATCAATATGGATTTGATTAGATCAGCCAGAATCAATGCAGCCAGAGAGGCTCATTGGATGAATCAGTTGACCAACAGACTGGAACATGCTCAAGTAGGTCTAACTTTTCAGTAACTTAAGGTATTTTGGATAGTTATAACAGCTTATCAGCTCTAATGGACTGGTTTGTGCATTTCTGTTACACATTAAACTTATTTACTGAAAACTTAGAGATAGTCGAATCAATGAGTAAGAATGTTCAAAGCGACGTTAAGATAAACTTTGCTGATAGTTTTCATTAACGTATTCGAAAATATCGTCTTTATCAATGCTAGATAACTAAGTTATCATTTATCACCATGTAGCATACCCAAATCAGGTTATGATAGAGTGATTCCGTGATAATTCGCAGGGATAGTAAATCAAAAGAATAGGAATAAAGGTCACTAGCTACGTTCATTCATTCACTACCTAACCTTTGAAGTATGTTCTTGGATGTTACACCACCAGGATAGACGACCTTATCAGCCTTCGCTTCGTACAGACACCCAAGAACAAACCATGAAGTCCACATAACACCGAACAATCTTTCTTGTTTACCTGAGCTACAAATCTTCTTGACTGTCTATCTGACATTTATCTAGCAGACCATAACACTTGCGTGTGGGCAAAATCAGATCGCTGGAATAAATTTTATTTCGTCTTAAATTATTTTCGGTATACGTTTCGGTGGAGCAGTTCATAATCTCCTGGAAATATTGACGTTTACGATACTGTCTGGTAATCTGTGTCACTCACCAGCAAATTCAGGGATGGAGTCTGCAAAATGGGAGTATTTTTAAATCCAGTCATTATTCACTTGTGTTTTTAGTAGCCTTATACCCATTTTGTACTGCTGAAAAGCACAGATTTGCATCTTTACTACGATTTCTTGATGCTTATAACAGTCCGCAAAAATTTTGCTTACACATGCTTGGGCGTAACAAAATTGAATCACGCCATGTGGGCATCTCTTTTCCTTACAGGAAAAAACAAGCAACTGAATTCATTCTTAAGTTAACCATTGAACAAATAAATGTCAAATTACTATTCTTAAATGAGTCTAGTATGCATATTCATGAAGACTGGTTCATCTGTTCTTCAGTAAAGAGGCAGGTCAACATTAAGAGCTTACCTAACATTTTCTAGGAAACTTCACCAAACGTATACGATCTTTTGTTACTGCCATAAAAAGTAAGAAGACATTTCACTAAGTATAAGTCAAAGTATGTCAAGGATCAAATGACTTAAATAGACGTGGTCGCCAAAATTTAGCCTCTTATCCCAAGAAAAATCTAGGTTGTGTGGTTAATTATGTTTTTATGATGAATCACCTTTAGAAATGAGTTTGTGAACTTGGAAAAACCCTTGTTTAGAGTTCTTGCGATGGGAATCTCCCTACTGTTTCCAGAGGGGTTAAAAACCTACGCGCTTTCTCATTAGGTGGTTTTTCAAAGGGTTGTGTCCCGTGCATTCATTCGATGTATTGCCCCTATTGATTATCAGTCAAGAAATCAATTTCCAGTGGCTGAGGATTTTAGTTCTTGTCATTCGATTATGCGTTGTAACTGTCAATCAATAAATTCCGTAAGTATTTGTACTTGGAGTGAATTTTATCTACTAAATACACTGGACACAGTCTCATACGTGTAATCTGATAAAAACTATTGACTTAGAGAAAGAAAAATTCTCTCCGATGCTATTCTAAAATATATGCACCAGTATTGATTAGTCATGGGAGAGCAACCAGTTTCATGTTGTCCAGTTCTGAGTGAGGACCGAATCCTATCGATCATATTTGCAATGCGGTCACCGAGCTAGGAGGCTCAGCATGGCGGCACATATAAGCAGGTCGCCTCCGACCAACTAACATCCATTAATATGCATTAGTATTTCTACATCCAAAACTCTGGGATAAAGAGTACCCAAGCTTTTGCTTTTTTAAAATTCTAGTCCTTAGTGACTTAAAATTTCCACCGGGGACATTTTCTAGGAAATGACTGTAAACTCCCTAATTTCTGGATTTGTTTCAAGGTTAGACATAATATACTGAACCAGAATGAAACCATGGTTGGTTGCGAATACGAGTGTCGCGACTAAGAAAGGCTGTGCAACTGTATCTAATCAATAAATTGTTAGAAAAAAGTCAACTAACTGCCAGATGAATAATCTCCTGCATGAAACAACCCACTCAGCGAAACCCATACTAATTAAAACAAAAAAACTTCAGTTGAATTTCATCAGAATTAGTCGTAAATGCATGCATTCAAGCAAAAAATACCCGCTTACAAGCAAATAAATGGCTTTCTGAGTAGGCGTGTAAAAATTGCTATAACGTTTCGGCTCTGTCAGTCACACAAGGTTATAAAAATCAAGGTCACTCAACAAAAAAACACAAAACAATGAACGCGGAAAGAATACTTCCGCAATCTACAAAAATTAGAATAGGAACACTTTGAATCGTATGCGTGAATACCTTTTATGCAGTCAAGTATTCTATAGTGTTTAATAAGCGTAAAATTGGCCTGAAAATCAGGGGGAAAAAGTAAGCATAAGAAGAAAGTTGGTATGATTCACCCCGACTGAATTTTCACTCTGTCTGATTATCTGCCTAAGACAAACAAAGTTGTGGCAAGTTGAGTAGAACATTGCTTTTATATTCACACTGTTGGTCTCATACCGTTTAAAAAGATATAAAATCCAAAAGATTCAACTAGTTTGAACCACAAATTCGTTAACTACCTTCACATCCTGAAAAGATATCGATGCACCCCTATAGCAAATTTGTTACTGCTTTACCATCGACTACTCTGAGGCAAGACAAAATGATTCATCGTTGATCAGAAGAGAAGCTCTGGTATTTCGGAATGTGATTAGCTCCATCATAAAAAAATTGTTCCTCCAATTTCCTGACGATACTACTGAAGCAGTATACAGATAGAGATGAGCAGTAATGCTGAATTTTGTTGACGAAAGTTTGATAATCTGGATTTTATGTCATACGGGTGCTTTTTCAAAGCTGTGAGCAAATAAACTTATGAACTAATGACATTGCAGTCTAAAAGGAGAGAAAATGGTGTTACTTGTGCTGTTATATTGTACATTCTCAAGCGATAACCACTTTTATCAAATCTTTAAACTGGGTGTAAATGTATCTACCTGTCAAAGTTAAAGATATGCTACCATTAATATATTGATGAATATATTACTCCATGAAAATACTCTAGGAGGACTGCTAGTAATTAATATAACCATGTTGACACTGGCTTAATAAATCACTCTAAATTATTGTTCAGCCTGAAGTGACAGGTAGCAGATAGGGCTAAAATGCTTAGATTGCTTGCCTGTATAACCACTTGATGTTTAAAAACCAAAAAAGAAGAGAAGTGAACACAATTACTGAAAATCAATATTTATAGCCTTTGACAGAAATGCGCTAGAAAGAGTCTCTTCATAGTATTCTGAATGTATTGTATTGTCAGGTTTACCTAAAATACCAGTTAACCTGACCTATAAGGTTCTTTCCCTGCTGTCTTTTCTGTATTCGAACCTCAACCACAGCCGAATTCTTTCACTATTAAGCTTTATACATGGGTTCAGTCTTTGATGAGCCTTTATTTCCAGGAAGATAAAGAGAAAACTTGGTGGAAAATGAAGTGACTGAAATTTTGTTCAGTTTTTGTTGGAAAGTTGAACATATCAAAAGTGGTAATGGCAGAGAAAGAATGAACACCACTAGAATCTTCTATGAACTCGTAATAATATGAACCCGTCCAATCATTTGAATCTTTATGTCCTAATTATTCTAGAAAGATGATTTAGATATCAGCTCTCTTCTTCCTACTCCAAATGCATATAATAAGCTCATAGAATAACGGTGACATTAGCAATGACTAGTATGTAACCCAAATACTATTATAAATAAGAATCTTGTGGATGACATGCTGTATATCTGACAGATGTTCAGAAATGCCAGTTCGAAACTTCGTAGCCCAATGCGTTTCTCTGAGGTTGATGTTAAACAAAAATCGAAGAAATCAAATTCAAAAATGCCCTCGAAACATTTTCAAATTTTCTACACATACTATGGAGGAAAGTAAATTTCAGTCATCAAAATTTTACATTCTCTCATCGACAAATATTGATAGACGATAAGAATGAGTTTGTAACAGTGATGTAGAACGGAACACCAAAGCGTAGTGCGATTGCTTGAGCAGTGATCAGATCAACATTTTCAATATGCACAGTAAAACCTTCAACATATCGAGTCAGTGATCTGCAGATGTACAACACACAGTAAGGTTGAATTTGGGATTTAAGCTTCAAACGCAGTATAAAGATAGATGCATGGAAAGGTTGTCTTTTATGTTCAATAATAATAAAATCTGAACTTTCACTAGTATATAACCAAGTCTACCTTAGTTTTGCACATGAATGAGTTTCGTTGCACGTTAAGGATAAAGGAAATTCAATCATGTGTAAGGTCATCTATTCATGTTGTAAAATACGCTTTTCTCCTATAACCGATATGTTGCATGAAATTTAACACCTTAATAAGCAAATCTACGATAATTAGTTTACCGACTCATATTTTGCTTTTGTGAATTGTCTAACACATTCAAAAAATTGGTTGGTAAATTGTTAAATGGGACATTTGTGATGAAATTTACTGAAAAACATATGAATACCTTCACTGTATAGACTATAGTCATGGTAACAATTTCGCGACTGATGTTCATTTCTCTTCTTGCATGCACGAAGGATAATGAGTAGTTATTGTGCTTTAACATGTTATGAGAAATGAATATGTAGATAGAAACACTGTACTCTTGATGCAAGTGGTTGAGTGTTTCAAAGGTCATCATCTGACATAAAGTTTGGCATTTGATCCTACTCTGAAAGGAAGCTGTTCATAAGTGAGAATCTCGGTGCCAGGATATAAATCTTATTCGGTACATTCTAATTGTCCTTAACTGATGCTAAACAAATAGATTTAAAACGGTAAAACTTACACAAATGTACTACTGGTCACATTATAATATTTGATATTGGTATAGAAAGAGTAAATGAATAAGAAACGAAGGACTTTAGAATACCCAAGGACGGCATGAGAAGAAAAGGTTCCGACTTTCAAAGAAGATTAGAGGTTATCAATTTTAAGCCCTTTCATTCAGAATCTGTATCGACTGATTAAAGACTTAAAAATCGCCACCAAAATGCACTTTGAAATCCTTTGTATATCTGGAACTAATATTTAATTGACTTTAAAGACGAGTACAATGTTCTGGTTCAACAAAGTTTGTTTTATCAAACCCTACTTCACCGCTTAGTGAAATGAACAGTAGTATAGTATGAATGGTTTCTTGTCTAACATGCATCAGTAATTGAAATTATTTCATATTCTGGTTATTGAACTCCAGTACATTTAATACAACCAAAAAATTTAAAACTAGCAGAATACAAACGAATTTTAATTGAGTTCTTTAGTCAAATACTTTACATTCACGATAATTTACATGTTAACTCGAAATAATCAGAAGGTACGCTTAACGTAAAACGAAATTTTCAACCTTTTCGTTGGCAGCATCTGTACATAAAAATAAGCGAAAAACAGACAGAAGGAGATAATGTGGTTCCATGCCAGAGAACGATTCCCTTCAGAGAAGTAGTTGCGGTGAAAAGTATTTCCACCTTAGGACCAAAAATTCCCCTTGGGATTATCAAAGATTAGGCAATGCCTGGTTGTGACTTAAACATCTGCCCAACTTACTGTCGAGTATAGTACCCATAAACTTCAAAAATGTCTTAGTGGTTAGTTATTTAAGTGAAGAGGCAGACAGCATTTGATTTCCAGTCCATGATTCAGTATTTTATTATCAAAGTCTCTAGCTTTCTGTTTACTCCATTCTTTTATTTATGCAATGATGATGAGAGAGATGAAGTATGGAGGCTAAATAGTGAGTGAATCTTTTAGTTAGAAGCCATAAGCACCAGGTATATTATTAGTTTAAAAAACCCTAAATAAGTTCGCTTCTTAAAAGACTCGCTTAAGAAACTCGAGCATGTATCCAGAAGTGACTATCAAAGTTGAGAGATAACAGAATTTCTGGCAGCTTAGAAACAACAGCAGTTTTGAGTTGAAAAATCACCACTCGTCCGGATCTCAACACGATCCTAATCAGCGTACCTATAACATTTAAAAGAATTAATCATAAATCAGGTAGTTCCTGGACAGAGACTATCTAAACTCACTGAATTGAATCCCGTTAAGAATAGGATGTGACGATGCAAGAAAAGTCATGAATTTCACATTTCTTTAGTGACCAATTGCAACGTCCTACCTCTCAGTCTTGCAGTTTAGATAACATAAGGTGACTAAGGTTATCTGGTGATGCATAACTCAGTTTTTAGCAAGACTGAAGATTTAATAGGGGGATACTTCTTCCTTCTTTCAAACCATCCAGTCCCTTGTTGGTCAAGATACCTTCATTACTTCTTCCATTCCTCTCCATTTGCCTCTCGTTTTTCTGTTATTTTAATGGGTTATCACAGTAAACCTTGTGGTTTATCTTATCAAAATTTCTAATTAGACTGTTTGTCATACCAATTACATCTGCATCCACTTTACCAAATCCAAAAAATTTTGCATAAATGTCTTTCATCATTTTGTTTTATCGCTTCTTCAAATGTCTAGAGGTTTTTATTTCGTATCTAAATGCGCACATGCTTCATTAGAGAAAAAAATACGTTTTAGTAATAGCTAGATGCTTCTCTAGTTACATATACAGGAGTTCACATGATGCCATAAAAATTTCATATATATATATTTTTTGAACCAGTCTACATACAAAACGTTTTCATAAATTTATTCTTTTCTGAAAATAAAAGTGTATGACCGTCTATAAGTTACAGGAAAATGTTACTTACGTACCTGTTTGCTAACTTGCATCAGATAAATTTTATTACCTAATGCCAAGATTCTGTCAGTAGATTCATTCGTCATTTATGCAGTAGAGTGAAATAAGCTGGACTTTATTTCACTGCAGAGAAAAAAATTGGTACAACTTTATTAAAGCATACAGGTGTACACCTAACTCTTGTTCTACCTAATAAGTGTAAACATGTGTTCTAGTGTAAATGGTTAACGTATGTGAAGGGACAAATCATATTCTTCTTGCTTTTAAAAATGGTCTTTTCTTGAATGCACAATAAATATGTCTAACACCTAAATCAGTGTTTTCCATCTGTACACAGTGAACCCTAAAAGTTAGTAAATGGTAATTTTTATAAAGTTGATTAAACTGAACGAATAGACATTTTATTACGAATTGTCATCAAGAAAGTGTGAACTAGGATTTATAAATCAGACTGCTAAATTTGATACATAGATTTCAGTCAACATACCTAGGCCTCACTGGTTATTCCGGTTGATCACTACTGGATGATCAGTTTTTTGTTAACCTTCCACCATTCATAATTTTGAAATTTAACCCTGAAAGGCAAGGCGTTTGCTCAAATTTTCATCATATCAATGAATGCTAATAATCTTGAAGTAAGAAACTAAAACTTCAGAAGGACTGAAAACCGGGGAATATTCCTCACACTGAGACAGAAACCTACTGAACTGCCTGCTGTTTTGCGTCAGCATACAAGGAGCTGATACGCATATATCACAGTCAACAAGTGAAGACAATTCTCCTGGCTAGAAAGGAGATCCGTTTTAGCTTCCATACCTTTGTTTACCATTCCGATTGTTTATTTTATTGTGTAACAACTTTTCAAAGTACTCCATTATTGTCCGACCGATTTCAATTAATTTTGTTAATTGTCGATGTGGTTGTGAAATTTTTAGGAATGCTATAATCCAAAAGAGAAATGCATTGGTTGTTACTTTTTATCACTGAAAACTTTTCATATCATTTCAGTTCAGTCATCCAACTTCACAGTATAACTTTAAATACTTCATTTTATGTTCAATTTTAGACGTATATACAATTACAATTCATTACAGAATTGTGCTTACTACAAAAAGGTTTAGCTAGTCACTATTATGTGTTGAATCAGCCACAACCAGGACGAATTCATCTACCAGAGGCACACGATGCGAAATTGACATTCTCAGCTTGTGAACTAATTGGTTCAAATTCCCAATTTACTGAACAGGCATTGTCATTACTGTCCAATTGGCGGTTAGATCCTTTAACAAATAAGCAGATTAAGCATACATTAAAAACACCAATGTGCCATTTTTCTCCAATTGTTCCTGCTACCTATGCTGAAAGTAAGTGATTTAAATATATTTCTTGATGAACATTACATGTTTGCCACACATGAATGACCACCTTAATTATGAAAATAATGGTTGTTTACCTTTTTCGATGAGAAGGGCCATCAACTATTCCTTTTTTCAATGATAGTTCATATCTTTTCTGTATGCGATTCACCTGATAAATACGACTGGCAGGGGGATGAGGACATTTCTAGAATGAAATGAATTCATTCTATTTTGGAGCTGTTGATCAGTGAAAACAATGCTATATGCAGCAGTCTGAATGATGGTCTATGAAAGTATAAGAAATTAAGGGATCTTCAGCGGTACATAAGCAGAAGTCTCAAACTGTAATTTACATCATCACTAATCCATTTTTGAGTAGACATGAGTCAACATGGAATATATAAAGAATGTAGTTAATAAGCCCTAAGCATTAGATTTTCAAGCAATGACCACCGGCAAGTAGTAATAATAGCCCCTAAAATATTTAGGAAGCAGCACAACTACGCACATGAGAGTTTATGTTGGTTTGAGTTGTATTCTACTATTATTGTTATTTATATAGTAGGCAAAATTGCTGAGGATCATTCATGAGACCAAACTAAACTCATCGTGAACTGACAGATGTAGGAAATATGAACTGTTGAATTCCGAACCAACGTGTCATTAGTAACATGGTGGCTTCGCAACCTGAAGCCCCTGTATTCCATCCTTTATGGGGTCTTGGTCGTGCACTGGTGAGGAGTCCCAGACTTGGTCGAAACAGCTGTCTGGTACTCCCAGGTTTCCAATGTTCCTCCAGCTGATGTCAGTCCATGATTAATAAATCCATACTTATTTCCGAATTCATTGAACCTCTGTTAATAGGTGTACATGAATAGAGGATGAACTAATTCAGGTGAAAACAACAGAAATTCAGTTACACTTGATTTCATATCAGCAGGTTCATTTGAATTGCAGCAACAGCTGTCACGTATAATAATGGTTTGATTTTTTTTCGTGATGTCAAACATTTTAAAGTCACCTTGAGTCCCAAATTACTACCCGATATCTAAGCACTATCTGATAAATGAACTCCAGATGGATGAAAGAAACTGAATTACTTGCCCTTCGCAACTTGTGCGGATTTACATGAATTGATTTTTTTGGTTGATTTGATTATGAATTATCTGATCAACTCAGCTAAACCTCAGCTAATTATAGTGACATTAGCATATTTTTACACAATAATGTTCTTCAAGAAAGAATACGGGAAATAAAAAAGGACAACTATAAGAAAGATGGGTATTATGTAGCGGAAGTACATCTGATTGAATGAAAAGAGATCTCAGAGGAGCACTTAGTCAAACCACATTAAGGCCTATGAACCTCATCAAAAATGAGTTAAGTCAACTGAAAGATCCAGTTAAATAATGGGACAAAAACAGATATTATTATTATTTGTCGTTTGGATTTCCAGTAGAACGTAGGGTTTCAGGAGTACATCTCTATGCCACTCTCTTAATTGCAGTCTTTGTAACATGGCTTCACCATTGCCCAGAAGCCCTCATTTCTTCCTCACACCATCTCCTCTATGTCACCCTCGACAACAACGCCCAACTCATCATTTCCCCTTTGGATTCCACTCAACGGCCTGGCATCGCGCATGCTGTCCCCAATCAGCCTTCTCAGTGCATCACCAATTCAATCCAATCCATCTCCACTTTCTTCCACACATTTGTTGGGTGATAGGTTCTTGGTTGGTTTGTTGCCAGCCAGAGTTCCTTGTTGCTTATTCTTTCTATCCTGGTCATCTAATATTCAGTATTGAGCATAGGCAACTGCTGATGAATGTCTGTAGATTGTTGGAAATACTTTTCTCAATGGGCCAAGTCTCTCAACTATCACATCAATGCACTGACTTGACTGAATCAGTTTTGAAAATCCGGATCTTATCCTTTATGTTGAGTGCAATAGATCTCCACACTGATTTCAAGTTAGTTATGGCTTGTCTTGCTTTTTGATCCTAGCCTTGACGTCCTCACCTGTGTCCTGTACGAAGTATCTTATGCCTCGTGCACAGTTAACAATCTAGGCCGGATGTCGAGATCACTCAAAATCAGACTGAGTGAACATCGTCGACTAACTGAAGGTCAGCCCAATGGGTGACAAGAATGTAAAAATTCGAAAAGGAGTTTGTTGATATCAGGACATGCTTAAAATGAAAACATAGTATTGACCTAGACAATGTTGACATCTCTAAGTCTAACATGAACAAGTGGAAAGAAAAATTGTCAACTGAATCCATGTTCATACATGTCACGCCTAACTCATACAACAAAAATGCCTCAGTGAATCTATCAACGACATGGAACATAGTATTGGAGAAAATAATGACAGACTTAAAAAATAAAAAACACCATGTATATATGAATTCGATCTGTAAATGTGTAAACGAATAATACCAACAGTTGTTATGATGACAGGTAGTTGTTTTACTCGAAATATTACCAAAATTAAAGAACATTGTGCGCAAGTATCATTACAAATATATTTGTGAGACAGTATTCATCACGAACTGATATAAGTTTGAGGACCATTGGAAACGTGGTAACATTAGACAACAGTTTCGTTCTAGTATGGGACTCCTCAGCAGCACGCACTGGTTGGACTGCAATCCAGTGGGTGAATGGTTAACGCGTTTGCTGTTAAACATGAAGCTCCTGAGTTCAGTCCCTAGCTGGGTCTTAGGTGCGAACTACTGAGGAGTTCTATACTAGGATGAAACGCCTATCGAGTGATCCCAGGTTTTCAATGGTACTGTAACAGATGTCAGTCTATGATGAATACTACCTCAAAATTTAAATCCCCATTCACCTCAAAATGAATATATTTATGATAAATCGATTCTCTCCACAATGCACAAAGTTTTCATGGATACAATGTTATGACATCAGATTATTATGGTATCTGTTCTGACTTGTAATAATCATAAAACTCAAACAAACACCTTTTGAATGCTCACCAATGCAATGTCATTATCATTGCTGTATCTTGCTGGTACTGACATAAATTTGACCGGTGAAACAATTCTATTCTAACAAGGTGAAGAGAAGATTAAGTCCTGAAAATCGTCACTGATAAGCTTCTTTTCGAAGGCAGTTTCAAAAGTTTATGAAAACCAATTACAACTGCGTTTCTAGCCAGCAGTTGACTTTCATTTGATTGATAAAATCACGAATAATTCAAATTAACTGCAATATATATGCCTGCCAAAAAACTCAAAATTTTCAAGGGTAGAAGATTATGGTTGTGGCATCTAAGTGGATCACTCGGAATGACACCAGTCAATGTTATAAACATTCTAAAGATAAAGATGTAAGCAATCACACACTTTTCACTTGTCATAAGCTGTTGAACAGTAAACTTTATAAGTAGATAACTCATCTTGATATAGACTTTCAGAAATGACCTTCACTGCATTTCTCTTCTACTCATAATGGCTATTAAGGTCACAGATCCCATTTTCCTACAGATCACAATTTTTTAGTTGATATATATGTTGAAACTCAAAAGACGGTTTACAAAACTATTCAACAAATTTCACTTTAGCATTTACTATAGTTCCTCGTCATAAACACCCTTAAGAAAATTGATATCACAACTTTTCTTACATGCTTTGTTTTCAGTTTGTCGCTTTCCTGCATTATATGATAGAAGAGTGCACATTATTTAGACTAACATCATATATCTTATCAGAAGTCTACATCTTGCAAAGCACATAAATGGAAAGACTCAGTGAAATAGTTCCACATAAAAAGGTATATCTAGTTTTCCCTGGTTACGAAAACTTCCTTTTCAACTCACCTTACGAATTTCATAAAAAATGTGTTAACTGACGCTACCTATTTGTTCAAAGAAGCAAGAAACACTTCACAGATATGAATATCTCTGTAGGATGAGTCTCAGAACTATATTCCTATATAACAATATAAAAGGCAATCATGAAACCGCAAACCATATATCAGTCAGAAGAAGAAGGATGTGTACAGAGAGGAAGTAAACATCTAGACACTCATGAACCTGCCAGAAAACGAATTCGGGGAATTCATAGTTTACGGTGAGCGTGGGTACCAACTGATGGTCTTGGATGGAAGTGGGGGGGGGAAGTAAAAGACTGTGAGTCATTGAACTCTGGCCCACTGACTGAGTGAGTAACACGTTCACTATGAAGAATGAAGGTCTTGAGGTCGTGAGTCCGTACTGCCGAGGAGTCTCACACTAGTATGAAAATACTGTCCCGTGCCTCTGGGTTTTCAGTAGTTCTGCAACTGATGTCAGTGCATGATGAAAGCCATCTTGCAATAAATAAATCCACATAAAGGTTAAACTAAAAAGGACCACTATAAAACCAAAACCATCCACCTGAGGTACAAATATTTTCCGTTATGATGAATAATTCGTTATTTTGTGATGAACTAACAGCTGTGCCATCCAGAGTTCTCAACTATCCAACGACATCAAATTGTTGACCTTAGTAAAAAGCTTAAATTTGCGAAGATGATACACACTGATAAATGATGACTTCATAAGTTTGGAATACCTCTTAATTTAATCACGTCACTCCACCTCGTGCTAGCATCTCACACTGCAATATGTGGTGATTCCTGAAGGGTAACACACGTCTTGGTCACTTCTTCATATTGTGTGCAATAATATTCCTACCTATAAATCATACTCTTCATGATCTATTTCAGCAAACTTCAACAGGCAATAGGCTTCGAATTTTTCTGAGAACAGGACACTAAAACTGGCACACTGCCAAGGTTTTTGAAAATTTCAGAGTTGATATGGCAATAGAGAAAAAGACAATGATAGATTCTAAGGCTTATATGCAGCACAGCATTTCGTTAAATCTTCTGTGCTCATGTACCCAGAATTCTGTAAAGAAAGCCACTGAAAATAATTCAGCAACTAAACAGTACTGTAGCTTCAACGACATTCTGTCATCATCACATGGCTAAGAATCGATTTCAGTGAGACAAATATATCCATACATCTTCATTTTATTCATCATATTGAGTTGTACCTCCTTGTTACTTTATCACTAACTTTTTTTACTTTTGACTATTTTCTTCGCCATTGCTTTAACTTTCATCTCGGTGCACTGTCGTTTGGTGGCCTGATTTCGAATATAGCAACTTGGAGTGCTACACAATAATGTCTATTCCTATATTGCTACTGTCTGTCTGTTTTCATTAAAAAAAGACGAACTGATTTCACTTCCAACGTATCATAATTTTTCATTTTATTTCTTTGTTCTCTAGGTCACTTGTCACGTTTATTAAGAATGACCACTTTCAACGGAAAAGCACTTACATCAGAGAAAAGGAAGAAAGGCAAGGAACCAGTCAATTCAAACAATCAAACTGAATTTATACAAACTGATAGAAACCAATTAGACGTTGACTATGAACAACTGACCACATCAATCGGAAGCCTGTCAAATCTAATTAATGCTGTTTATCGTTTGCTGTTAACTAGTCTGACAGTAATGGTTGCAATGGGTGGACTGTTGGTCTGTCTGCATATGATTTCAATACTTGCTCGCATAGTCATACGGATCCCGGTGCGCAAGGTGAGATGTAAAAGACAAAGAAAGTTTCTTATTTGATTGAGTTATCAATCCACGAGCGTAGATATTCTTGAAGATTTAGAATCATATTTCATTATAAGTTAATTAGTTAGAGTCTTGTAAGAAACATCAACAGGGAATAAACAATCATTAAAAAAATTATTGAGTACAAAAAATACTTGCTTATCTTTTTCTGAAGTTCCAGTGACGTTTCGTACCATGATTTCAACCTCTAAGTAAGAATTTGAATACTTTTATTCACAATCGACACCTATAAACAATCGATTTCTCCGGTCTCAAGAAAAAACACGTGAACCAAAGTCTAAATATCAGATTGGTTGAAGAAACAAAAATCAATAGGATATTTTATCATATAAAAGCCTGTAAATAGTCAAGGCCACTGTAATATATATATATTTACAATGGCCATCGTATTTTGCAGGCAGTTTGACGTTCTAATACACCTTCTGTTATCTTTTAACCCCTCTATATACAATTTAGGTTACATCAAGTGGTCACTACGAAGATGTTGTAAGCAGCGACGGGGTTTTAACACTTTCCAATTCCATGTTGACACTGCAAAACCTTTCTGATAGCGGCGATCATTTTGTAGGGTTCACAAACTAAGACAAGTGAAGCGGATTGCAACACAATGTATCTTGTATACCTCCCATTTGAAAATACAATATATTTCTGTAAACTAACGGGATCAATAGTTTATGCATTTTGCTGTTTTAATTACGGTCATAACAACAATATCTATTGTGCTTTTAAACATCCTAAGAAACGAACGCCTTGTCTCTATCTTATTTAAAATACTTACACCTGTGTACTTGGGAGACATTTTAAAGTCAACACGGAGACATTTTTCACAGTCAATTTTTCACTATTTATTGATGTTTGTGTTCCGCAGTTCAATCGGCAAAGAAACGAGAAAATTAATGTTGAACAAGTGATTCAAACCTACCGCCGGTGATGTCATTCCCTATAGCCTTACAGTCGTATTCAAAAGCATTAGGGTTAGATAAGCTCAGGCAGGATCATTAGTTTATTGTTCAAAAATAGAATTAAAGACTGTCCCTATAGACAGAAAGGAACTTCTCACAATGAAACAATATTATTTACCGCATGACGTTTCGAATAGAATTCATTATTCATGTTCATATCAAAGGTAACTCCACACCTTTTTACATTCTGTTTTTATGGTCCCATTTCTTCTTATCCGTATTTTATAGGGTTATTCGAATTTCATCAAGATCTGGAATAAGTGTTAGACTACTTCTTTAACATTGATCTAATGTTCATTCAATACAGAAAGGTTATTGATAACTTAGCTTTAGGATAGTCACCGTGACGCATGCTGTTGTTCGATTGTACGTGATATTATGCTGAGCTTTTCTCGAGACACTGCCCTACCAGGGTCGATTATTCTAAATTTGGCTACGTATTTGTGTTCTGTAATTCTACTTAACCCTGATTGATTACTTTCTTTTATGCGCTCATTGAAAGGATCTTGAAAAGATAAATTATTTTACCTGATGAACACTGTAGGATCATTATAACTACAAAGCTTGTTTCTTAGTGGGTTCGTAGATTCCAGTACCATAGTAACCTCAGCTTAGTTGAGTAACTTAAGTGAACTCTCTGAGATACCTTGCTTATATAGTAGTATATATGGTAGTATAGTGAAGATTTTGTGTTCCTGTTGCCATTATTAGTATGTATATTATCTGTTTATCTTACTGATCTCTTATCACAAGTTCTTAAACATTTGTGACTCACATTACCATGATAGTTATTGAAGACGAAGCTTCTTTTCATACACCTCACTTCCAGTCGTAGATTTTCTGTTCTACTGCTTGAATATTTCACTATATTGATTAAGAACTTTACCTAACCTCTTTTAAGTGAGGTGACTTGATTCCTAAGCATCGATTCGAATGTGTAGGTTTTCCGCAAACATAAATCGAAATCTTATCTGCTTTTTGCCCTGCAATCAATGGCAGCTAGTTCTCTATCATCATACGCTAACTTACGGATAAGCTGGATTCCACCAACGACTGAAAGACTGCATTGTAAATTAGTTGCTTATGATGCTTTCGGGAAAACGGAAAGGAACAATTAAAACCCTAAGTAACCGAGAAATTAATTTTTTCTTCTTCTCTAAACAAAGTTTGGGCTGGAATTTATTGACTCGTAGCAATTCCATCGTGCTCAAGTCATAAGATCTTACTTGTTTTTACAGTAGTATTCGTCACGGACTGTCATCATTTGGTCTGGCCTAGTAGATTGTGGTGGAAATACGTCACCTGAGTTGACTAGGTGCCCAAAGAATGTACTGTTCTTACTACTTATGGTAACTGCTATATTCTGAAAGATATTTCGAGAATAGTTCACAGAATTTTCAGCCTAAAATATAGCATCAGTTGTGCGTTAACCTCTTTACAGTCGTGTTGGATAACATTACGATTACTTTTAGTACGTGATCAATTTACTTTTGTCAGTGGAAACGACCTTTTATTGTCTTCTTAAATGACACAAAAATCATGTTTTATACTCGCCATTTGTTTTAAAAACCAACTTTTATCTGTCTTTACTCCTCATAAGTGTTATTGTTTATCTTAAATAACCAAAAGAGTCTAAAAGGAAAGATTTACTCATTGAGTAACCTTTCTCAGATTGTTTCCGTAACACATATTTCATCAAAACCTTTCACTACCGGAATCCACATAAAAGAAAACCCCCAAGAGATTTGATTACTCATCAATTAGTCATCTATCAGCAACCTTCTCTTCGAAAGCTTTCAGTCTGAGACTGACTACCGTGACACAAACTCCTTCCCCTATAGCCTAACAATTACTCAACTATAAATACCAAATTTTTTTGAAATATTTATAGTCTATGACAGGAAAATCCAGACTGACTTGTTTTCTGAGCAATAATTTCAGGCGGCCAACGTTTCAGTGTCATCGTAGATATCATCGTCAGTGCATCTTTGCTTCTTTGCAAGGCAGTGATTTGAACAGAAATCTTTTTATCCGGTTATAATACGAGTGATAACTAATTTTCTCATGTTTTACCCTTTGTTCAGATTTATTATGTATCCAGCTATCCACCGTATACATCCATAAACAGTCATACATGCTTGCTAACTGCTTATCACAGTACAGAAAATCAATCGACATAAGTAAGGAAGGATTGTTATGCAACAAGATAATGTTATACTAAACAATATTTTATCCTTGGAAACCATCTCCAATGAAACTAATTAAAACAAAGTCATTATGCCATCATTCAGAGAAACGTTACAGTGTTGAAAAAAAATTATGTACCTGAAGTCCACTGCTTGACTAATCAAACGATAATAAACAGAAAACACACATGAATCATAAAGAAGCACTAATAAATAATAAGAAGATTTTCACCTGGCTCAAAATTATTTTTACTTTGATATGAAAAATAACTAAAAAAAAAGTTAACTTTCAACAAGAAAGAAACAATAGAAGCAAACAAACACTTAACGAAACTAAGAAAGCGGAAAAAAAAATTCTCAAACTCACCGAAATTTCAATTTTTATACTTTCTATCCTGCTTCTATGTGTTATTCCCTAAATAATTGTGTCATTTGAAAATTTCTATGTTGGAAAGAAACATTTCTTATTGCTTTTACTTTATTCTTTTGCTAAATTCACTTATGTTTTACACAAGAAAGAGAAGAGAATTCAAAGCGTAAATAATAAATAACTTGAGAAATATAGAATATACGATTGATGAACTTTGTAGATAGTTGACTAAAGGGAAGAATATTAAGATTTTAAATTTCTTCATTTACTTAAATCCATTCTCATTTTACTCTTATTTTGTGAATAAAAGTTATATTATAGGTGTATTGTGTTCAATTATCAACCCATAGACCTATGTATATAGGCATAAATATATGCTCTATGGATGTCGTATATCACTGTTTCCAAGTAACATTGAAGTAGTTCTTGGTTACCTGTGAATATTGTAATCAAATCATTTGTAAGTCATTACAAATAATAGGAGAGTATACCAACAACATATTTGTATTCCTTATAGGTGATTATAATCATTGAGTTGCTTTAATCGCATTCCGTTAATTTGAATTCTTGTTTACACTTCAATTAATGTTAATAATAATAATAATAATAATAATAATAATGAAATCTCCTGTAAATATTATTCTAACACAGAAATAAATACTCTTTCTACCTATCTTTTGTTTTACATAAAAAGGTTCACAATATTAACAGTGTAAATAATGTCTTTCTTTATATTGTTGTTAATAGTGAGTTATTTATTTATTAATTTTAAAAAAAGGAATCAATACCATCGATTAAAAGTTGTATGTGACCTTGTGAAATTAAATAATAATTCAATAAATTGACGTTGTTACTTTAATACATAGGATAAATACAACTATTTTGATGGAGTTGTGGGGATTTAGTGATTTTTCAAGTTGTTATTTATCCTAGACTGATATCAGTTGGAGGAACAAACGAAACCTGGGAGCACTGAACAGCTGTTTAGTCTTAATATGGGACTCCTCAGCAGTGAGCAACCATGACCACGTCAGGAATCGAAACCGCCACCTTCAGGTTCTGTGGCCAGCACGTTACCATTGAGCCACTGAGTCAGAATCCAGTAGTCCATATTTCCAACTTCTGTTAGCTCATGATATATATGTAACACGATATATGTAACAGAAGTTGGAAATATGGACCATTGGATTCTGACCCAGTGGCTCCATGGTAACGTGCTGGCCACAGAAACTGAAGGTGGCTGGTTTGATCCCTGGAGAGGTCGTGGTTGCGCACTGCTGAGTCCCATACTAGGACGAAACAGCTGTCAAGTGCTCTCAAGCTTATTTTGTTCCTCCAACTGATGTCAGTCTATGATGAATAACAACTCGAAATACAACCATTCCCATTTTACAGAGTTGAATCACTTCAAGCATTTCAGTAAAGCAGGTGCATTCAAGCCAAAAACTAAGGTTATTTGCGTTAAGAAAAGGCAGTTAATGTGTTGCAGACTAAAATGATGGAAGGAATCAATCAAAAAGGTTGAGTTTAAACTAGATGGGTGTCAAATATGTTGGGGTTAGAAAATGATATTCAACTGATTCGGGATATATTGTCAACACAATCTATGATCCTTGATGTGTATCTATCTTCACGCTTTACACAGTTATCATCCAACTGTACTTCATTCTTTCATTCTTATTAGTCACAGAGTTTTCCCAATAACTGTAATGTGTGGTGAATAATTCATATTGAGCATTTCAGGCACTGATTCCATGATTGAAGACCAACTAATCAATCCCTCCCTTCACCTATCTATGTTAGATCTTAGAACTGTCATGCTGTTACTTACTGCAGTTTGATTATTAGTTAGTTTATACATAAAGATTATGTAATTTTCCCTTATTGGATATATTGAATCGGTTGGTTTACAAATTTTCTCTTGAAGTGCACTTGTGGGAGTAGACGCCGTATTGGCTCCAGCATAGTTAGTCATCTTATATAGACTTCTGATGTCCATTCCTTATATGTCAACACTGTAGAAAGGTTTGAATTCTCTTCCTTAGACTCGCTGTAGTTACTGTTAATATATTTATTGCTCTTATTGTCCCGTATACTCGTTCTAGGAGACCTTGAAGATTAGTTTTCAAATTCGTATAAGAGTTTACCCATGGTTTTGGTTTTCATTAGTTCTCTAGCTGTTATCGATCCGTAGCAAAACTCCTTATAAATCGCTTAGTTTACAACAAGCTGGTAAACTGATTTATAATACTGTTGTTGTTGTTGTTGGCGTAATCAAATGTGATTGTTTTAAATTGGCAAATAGAATCAGAAGTGTTTACAACAATATCAAACATGATCAGTATGCCTAAGATAATAAATGGATGCGTGTGTCAAAACGTTTACATTTCCTTAAGTTCAAATAATAAGAAAACGCCGAAAATACAAACTTATGGTGAGAAAGATGATAAGAACAAAAGGACTGTAATATTGACATATTATTATTATTTTCCCTTGGGTTCCTAGTGGAACATAGGGCTTCAGTAGCACGTCTCCATTCCACTGTCTTCTCTGAAGTCATTTCAACCTCTCTCCACCTCTGCCCACCAGCTTTCATATCTTCCTCACACCATCTCCTCTATGTCACCCTCGACACCAACTCCCAACTCATCATTTCCCCTTTGGATTCCACTCAACGGCCTGGCATCGCACATGCTGTCCCAATCAGCCTTCTCAGTGTATCACCAATTCAATCCAATCCATCTCCACTTTCTTCCACACATTTGTTGGGTGATAGGTTCTTGGTTGGTTTGTTGCCAGCCAGAGTTCCTTGTTGCATATTCTTTCTATCCTGGTCATCTAATATTCAGTATTGAGCATAGGCAACTGCTGATGAATGTCTGTAGATTGTTGTAAATGCTTTTCTCAATGGGCCAAGTCTCTCAACTATCATATGAATGCACTGACTTGACTGAATCAGTGTTAAAAATCTGGATCTTTTCCTTTATGTTGAGTGTAGTAGATCTTCACAGTGATTTCAAGTTAGTGATGGCCTGTCTTGCTTTTCTGATCCTGGTTTTGACATCCTCATCTGTGTTGCATGTAGTTGAAACGATGCTAACATACAGAAAAGCCAAATGAAATGCAGTACAGAGTGATTTCAAAAGAGCAAGTATTCGAAAAAAATTTCAACTAATGAATCATATTTCAAAACAAATAAAGAAGAGCAGCAGGATATCCTTTATCGACTTTCCGATTAACTATATTTGTCGCTAGTCGAAATCACTCAAAACCGAACGTAGTGAACATTGATGAATGTCCAGTTTTTAACCCATAGAAGCACAAGGAAGACAGAATTTCGGTAGGGAATTCACTGATAAAGCTCATGTGTTGGATTAAATACATTTTATTGCTTTGAACAACGCTTTCTTTTCAAAGTTCCATATGAATGAATAAATGAAACGAAAGGTTGATAACTAAATCCACATTCATATATTTCATCCATAACAAAACATTCAAGGATGTTACATGAAAGTTGATGTGAAATAACAACTAAGAGTGAGACAGTAAACTTACGTGACTGGTTAACATTTAGAAACTTTTTAAGAGAATTTGAGGAACCAAAACGGAACAAGAGGGACAACCTTACTACAGCTACGGACTGCATCTGACAACTCAAGTTATTACCTTAATACGTGTGATATCTATCCATGTTCCCTAAACCGTTACATAACATTCAAGCGTTTGAAACCACTGACGCTTCACCAAGCTCTCAATTACAAAAGGATTAACATACAAAAGCCATTTGTTTATAACTTATATAAAAATTGAAGTGTGCTCTACGTCGAACAAATTATCTCTTCTATTAAATAGGATCCATTTTCAGCAAATTATCCCACTTATTTTAAAACCAGTGAATGACCCACCTAAGAAAAACGAATCATGGGGAATATGTCGTTTTCGGTGAGTTGAATGCTTAGTTATTGTGGAAGTTATTCTAACCTAGACAAAAATATTTATCGAAACTCCACTTAAGAAATAATTACGAAAGTGAAGAGTGGATTACCCTATTCACAGTTCTAATACGTGGCAATGAAAATCTACATCCATGCTATGCCTTCGTGGCATGTAAATTCAGTAGGCATCCTATAAAATGAAAATGGCTACATCCAAGTACACACCAAGAATTTGAAAACCAAGATTTGTAATTTACAAGCCACTCCAGCAACTAATTAACTGACCAACTGGATTTCTTCATTTTACTGCAAAATTATAGTTCTAGACGAAGTTAAATTTTAGAGGTTGGTAGAGCCACTAGAAGCATCACGTAACTATACTTTTTAGTTGAGTGTTCAGAGTCACAGAAACGAATTCCTGTTGAGTCATCACATAATCCTATCAACGTCGCAATTTCTTCTTATCTCAGTTTTATAATAAATAACGTTTGATATGAAGGGTTTAATAACAAATATTTTCCATCATTTTGACCGTCTAAGATAGCCATGGTTTGTCAGAATAGTGTTGATACTTGAGGGATGATTGAAGGCGAGCTGAAAACTTTGACAGCAGTTGGATTCGAGCCATCGAACATCGGATTTTCGGACAAATGCTTTACCAACGGAGCTAAGGGGTTGAGCCTAATTTAATATTTATAGTAATGATAGGTAGTGACTAGAAGTGAAATCCTGGACGTGCGTTTCATCCTGTTTAAGACACATCAGCTGGATGACCAGTTTATTTTCAGACGCTAGAGCGTGATTTACAAACAAGAAGTAACTGTCGCGAGTCAATGGCCTTGAAAGGCTTGAAACAATAGGTCACAGGTTCGATTCTAAGTAGAAATAACATCGTTCTCTGGGTGGCAGATGCACCTAAATAGGACTAAACATGAGTTCTGAGTTCTACTGCTAGCCACTATCCATCATTACTATAAAATCGAAATGGTAAGCAACATTCATGCTACCGAGCCGGAGCCCTTACGCTTATAGAGACAGATCAACTAGCTTCAATCAGAGACAGAAAAAATGTAGAGAAAACCTTATTCCGAACTATTTTTTATACCAACAAATTAAGTGTTTCAAACTTCCGACTGCATTATATACAACCAAACTTTCTATTTGTTATACAACCCGTAGAATAGGTGTAACAATTTCACATAAGAAACAGCACACGCACTATAAAAGTTATCTAGAATACAAGAACGTAAACCTTTCAAGAAGAACTTCAATACTGGGACAAAATATCCCCCAAGCACCCTCAGGTTTTCAATGGTTTTCCCACTGATTTTAGTCCATGATGAATGCCAACTTGAAATCAATGAATCCCTACAAACCTTCAAAAGGAATTACTGTATCATGCTCATTAGTGACATGCTTCATGACAAAATTTCCTGGAATTCACCCCATTAAGATTTTACAGACACATCATTTTTATAAATGTCTCACTCAACATACTGAGTTCTATCAGGTCAACTTTTGACCCTGACATCTACAAAATATAAACCTTGGAATATAAGCTGTGATAAATGAGTTCACATCAATATTTTTCCAGCTTAAATCAGTTGGTTAAACAAAATATTTTCGGTCATCAATCCAGTGTACGATAAGCTATACCATGTTTCAATGAAATTGATTTTACATAGGTGACATACAAGACAAAACGTCATTTCAGTGGTGTTGATTGTGTTACATTGCAAAAGATGGACAACCTAGTAGTCGGTCACAAGCGTTCCAAACCATTTCAATATCCCCCATATCAGCTATGCAAAATAAACATTGGCTGTACACGTGTACACTTTTTTCCATATTTCCACAAAGAAGGACTTCCCTCATTCAGATCGCTAAAATTAACAGAGAACATACTACAACAAAAAGCAATCTTACTGATGTAAAAACAGTGAAACTGATACAAATGGAAAAATAAATCAAAATCCATCATGGTTACTAATTAAACAAAAGGAGTGATTGAATTAATTGAACTATTGAAAAATGAATAACTGAACATTTATGGTTCATTCTACTCATGTGTTAATCAAGACGTGGGTAAAGAAGGCTGGGAAACTGAATCATACTGTGAACAGTGGTATTCGCAATAAATCTCTCTTATCAGCTGTTCATTTGTAAAATTGATAATAAAAGTCTAAAAAAAACCATTTATCAGTTAGAAAACCATTGGGCAAAAATAAAACGGGGATAGAAAAAGAAAATACTGATTGTTTTTATGCATCACAATTCGATGTTTGCTTGCCATCAAAAAATGATGAACTGATCACTGAAACATTTGGTGGTTGATCAGATCTAAGACTAGAACGATATGATGTCAAGTCATTAAAATTATTCGTGAAGGTACTAACAGTTGACGGTGACTTTGGTCTTTGTCTATCTATCGACTGGCTAGAGTCACTCAGTAGTTGATATGATGAAATATTAAAAGCAGATGGTCGAACAGGCAGTGGAGGAGCGCATTCATTGAATGGATCCATTATTGCCTCTGTTGACATCTTATTGTTTTTTTTCTCTGCAGTGTCTTCTTCAACCTCATCCGGTGGAAATGCAGTCGCATATATTTCTGCACCAGCGTAAAGTCCAAGTGGATCACATTCATCATATTCATCAGGTACTGGACTTGGTTCTATTTTTTTTGAGTAAGCAGCATTGGAGGGTTTGACGATTATTGGGGGTATGTTTGATGTATCCTCGTAAGTGTTATTCATAAAGTGAGGATTCAGGGGGCAGGAACTACCGTAATTTGACTGAGATGAAGTTCGAGGGTTGTGATAATATACAATAGCTCCATGTTTGGCTCCATGATCGACCATACGCCTGTGTGAAAGCAACATATGTTGAACAATAACGGAGAGTTAAAATATGTAAACATAGAACAAGTGCATTTTTTGTAGATTTTTAGATCATACGCTAAAAAATCCCAGGTGTAATACTGATCTTTAGCATAGTCACTAGCTAGTTATCAAGACCTCAGATACACAGCAATAGCCTCATATATATTATACTTAAAAATACTCAGAGAAATGAATCCTGCTTGCTACATTCAACGTGGCTAAGTGTTCCCGAAATTCTTCATTCAACCAACTTGTTGCGAAGCATAAATTCTTAAAAGCCTTCACTTTTAAAAGAAAATCAAATGTCTGTGGGAATAGGGTCAGTGATGACTTTGTTTATAAATTAGAATACTAGATTTTAATTTACATCTTACAGTTAAATCATAGTCTAAATTACTGTTATGTTATGTGTAGTAAGATTTCCCAGATCCTTTCAAGATGCTCTAGATCCCTGAAGCCATTCACGGGCAAACATTACGCCTTCAAATTCTGGAAACAGGCACCGGATTATAAGTGCAAGTATCAGATTGGTAGAAGAGGCAAAATCAATGCAGAATGTCTCTGGAATCAGCCAAAGTGATTATATATATATGTGAACCTTTGTATTTTGTACTCAGTTTGACGCTGCAGCACTTATTCCGCTACTTCTTCATCATTCTATTTTCTGAAGAACCGAGTGACTATCATGCGTGAAATCCAAAGGTTATTTTTAAAGTGACTGCAAGTACACCTGTGTAACTAGGTTATATCAAGTGATGACGGGGATAAGATCGGAACTCATAAAACTAATTTTGCTGACTGAAAACAAAACTATAATGAACAAAGCAGATGTTCCATCCCCTCACATTTAAGAAACTATCTTCAGCTTGACTACATTTCAAAGCCTTTCACTGACTGCGCGAGAGAATTCGACCAATATAATATGGTAAATTATCAATAGAGTCTATATAAGCATATCACCCATTCCAACTAACTAACATAAAAGCAGTCGCATAGCCAAGTGTTAATGTATTTAATTTTTAATGCAGGATGGTTATTCCCTGTGAAATCAGTAGCGCGAACTAATAAGTCGCACAATAAAGACCTCGTTAATCACGAAAATAATGACATCACAGCTTGGCGAAAATAACTTGAATCAAGGGTAATGAACTCTGTTCTCCGCAACTTGTTACGTCACCGTGGGTCAGGTTGTCATGAGCAAAAATGGTGATGTAAATTCGTGAAGCAGAAGAGTGTGCACTCACTTTTAAACCACTTCCAGTTTGAGTACATGACACATATTATCTTTGAGGGAGTTGTGAAGATTTGGAAATATTTCAAGTTGTTATTCGTCGTAGACTGACAACAGCTGAAGGAACAAAGGAAACCTGGAGCACTGGGCAGCTCTTTCGCCCTAGTATGGGACTCCTCAGCAGTACGCACCTATGACCCCAACAGGGACCGAGCCCAGCGGCTCAATAGTAACGTGCTGGCCAAAGAACCTGAAGGTCGCGGGTTCGATCCCTGGTGGGGTCGTGGTTGCGCACTGCTGAGGGGTCCCATACTAGGACAATACAGCTATCCAGTGCTCCCAGGTTTCGTTTGTTTCTCCAAATGATGTCAGTCTACGATGAATAACAACCTGTCGTATTAATTTTGTCAACAAAAGAGGAAACAACTTATTTTATACCCACAGTCCCTGTGTATCTCCAAAGCGGTGTAAAAAAATTGATAAACAATTAGTTTTACGATACTAGGTGGAAGCCGTAAATAATATCACTTCTACCTACACTTACAAAAATTCCTAGATTCATGGTGGTAATGAATAAAGCTGATATGAAAAGCAAAGATCTTATCAAAAGCAGAACAAGGAGACGACTAATAAAAAAATTTCAAGTTGTTATTCATCGAAGACTGACATCAGTTGGAGGAACAAAGGAAAACTGGGAGCACTGGACAGCTGTTTCGTCCTAGTATGGGACTCCTCAGCAGTGCGCACCCACGACCCCACCAGCAGGGACCGAACCTGCGACCTTCAGGTTCCGCGACCAGCGCGTTACCATTGAGCAACTGGGTCAGAATCCAATGCTCCATATTTCCAACTTCTGTTAGCTCACGATATAGCGCAAACCGCCACCTAATGTCATCGTTGAGTATTTGTCCTCACGGCCATCAGGCTTGACTCCAGTGGCTCAATGGTAACGCTCCCAGTGCTACGCATGATCCAACGAAATATAACCTATCCCCCACAACTCTATCTCCTCCTCTACTTTCACCTACTGATACTAAGATTAACCTTCTTACGCCTTACTTAACCCTCACTCTAAAACCATTTCGACCAAACAAAGATATCGGAACCTCATTTCTAGTTTCCTATGGCCCAGCCATAGATTTCGTATTGGAGCTCTCAACGTCCGAACTCTATGTCAAATCGGATGGCAGGTATTGCGCGCCAAAACAGTAGAATCTCGAGCCGTGGATGCATGTTATGTCTTTGAGACACGTATACAGAACCAACGTGTGATTATTAAACTGATCTTAGCTAGCCAAATGGTGAATCTTCAAATGTTACCTTAAGACCATCTAGAGACGCATTGGATAGCCCTCTTGGACCTGCTGGTGTAGGCATTGTACTCATCTGCAGGCAGAATGTGTGCTTCTTGACCGGATTCCAGCCAACAGCTGTCTATGTGCCGTCCGACTGAATGGATCTGTAAGGACTAGGAAAGATCATGAGACCAACCGATGTCTATTCGCAATCTCTGCCTACACACTCACCGACTGTAGGTCGTAAGATGCACAGGATAAATTCTAAGAGAAGCTGTCAATCTTGCTACAGAAATTAAAACGTTCATATGTAGTCATAATGTCAAGTGTTAATAATGCCAAAGTAGGGAACGTTAGCTGACCTGATGGTAAACCCTGTTTTAAGTCGATTGGAAGACTAGGATACCAAAAGCGTATTTAGGGAGGAGTTAGCTAATCATTTATCGGAATACAAGAGCGATCCTCATCCTGGGGAAAACCGGTATGATATTTAGTCTGTTATAGAAACAATGGTTAAAATAGTTGGTGATCTACACTCCAAGGTAAGTAAATGTCGTTAAATTTCCATAACATCAGCCAAACCGACCTATGTGAGAAGACTGATCACAGTTGACTTTGACGGCAATGAACAGAGAAGACAACCCAAACATAATTTGGCCAAGAGTCTTTGTGTTGATCGCTGGCAACAATGCATGGCAAAAGCGGGAGAGATGGAGAAGGCATCGGCGTTAGATAACACTTAAGAACTGTTTAGGCTTGTTAAGGATAGTCGGTAGAAGAAGACGATAGTTGACCAAACGACCGCCGAGAAAGATGGTATGCTGGTAACCTCCTAGAATAAGTGGAGAACACCCTGAAGCATAGTTAGGCTAATCCTTAGTAACACCTCAGCTCTCTAACATTCAGATTGCATGTAAATGACTCACAGATGTCGGTCTTACAACTCTTTTTAAAGTTGAGAAGGCGGAGTCGAAAATGAGACGATGCAAAAGCACAGGACCCATCAGTTTGTTACCCGACGTTTTTAGGGAGGAAGGCAAGAAGTTGGTGATCAGTGTTATGAAGGTACTTTGTAGTACTTGGTAGTGCCAGCAAACTGATGCACTTCTTTTGACAACCGTAAGGGAATCCGTATGAATAATATCGTGTCTAAGATCGTAGGGTCCAAAATTATCCGAAGCCTTACTGCAGCTGGAGACCAGAAAATCCGAGAAAACCAGGCAAGTTTCAGGGCGGAGTGGATTAAGGTATATCGATCATATGTTCACCCTCCTAAAGCACAGGCATACTTACTTTTGGTCGATGCGTGTTTGCTAACCTGAAGGCGGCCTACGTCTCTGTCAACCAATAGTTGCTGTGACAGTGTCTGACTGTCAAGGGAGTACCGAGAATGTATATAACCCGAATGAAAGCTCTCTACTAGAACTCAAACACGCATGGAAGATCTTATGAAGAGTTGTCATGTGAACTGAAGACAACTGATGGTGTTTGCCAGGGATGCCCACTGTCATAACTCCTGTTTAACTTTGTTAAAGACGTAGGAATTCATAAAACCGAAGGAAAGTATGGCATCCCAAAGACTTACCTGCTTCCTGAAGGTTATCTAGATGACTTAGAATATGCAAACGATATTTTACTGCTAAATAAAGATGCCGACAAAATGCAGAGTTTACTGAAGGCATCGAACAGGAATCTGAGTACGCTTAGCATGCATTTCACACTTGCCAAATGCAAGGTAATGCTGCAGAACTGGTCTGTAACCATTCCCAGTTTAGTGATAAGCAGTGATGACGGAATATATCAATCACTTTACTTAGAGGTGCGTCAGCCCAAATGGACTGGTTGTTAGCGAAGTCCTAGCTCGGATAAAGAAGGCGCGTTTGATCTCTGCCAACTTGCGTCATTTTTCATGCTAATTGGCAAGATACCTGACTATCAATCAAAAAACAAGTATTCCGTGCTTCAGTCTGTTCTGTTATACGGCGGAGACATGGCCGTTACAAGTAAAAAATATGGAGCGAATATAGGATTTTAATTACAGAGGTCATCGTGGCATTGCTAACGTTTGGTGGAATTACCGGGTGGCCAGTGTTGAGGTCAGGCAAAGGGTGCTATACAATAAAGGCAAGCTGACCTATGAGGCCATTAACCTTGGTCAAATGAGATGGCTTGGACATGTGTTGCGTATACTCAGTAGCCGTCCACCTTGACGTGTCATGCTAGGCTGAGGAAGTTGGATCAGGTTTAAAAAGGGTTTAGGTTGACCGAATCAAGACTTGGCATCAAACAATGAAATTCTTTACTGTTGTTATGAGCCACCTTGGGATATGCAGACTAGCTGGTTAGAGTCTTCAGGATGACAGGAATCAGTGGTTGAGGACTCTTGGTGATGCGGGTGAAAATCGGTCACAGTGAAGCAGATGTATTCACCTCTCAACATCTAAATTTTGAATATTCGCACTGAGTATTATATTCAGTTTGTCTATTCTCTCACACAACTTCGTCTACTTCAATATCACTCTAATTTCTACCCACCCGTTGTTTATGTCACTGTGAAGTGTGGCGACTTGAGCATAATGCACCCATGTTCGAGGTTCTACGCTATTTCAGTAAGCATTAGTCCCCCGGAGTTGTTTTCATCACTTACGAACAATTTCATCCAGTAGACAACCAGAAGCTTAAATGTGATTGCTCACTAAAATTTTCGTATATTCCATAGCAAGTATTTTTATCGGAAAATAGACTACTTTTCACTCTAGTCTAGGACTCAAAGGCTGTGTGTATCCTTAAATGTAGAGAATTAATAAAGTATTTCTACCCTCCTAGAAAGCAGGAATGAAATGCTGTTATTGTAAAGTTCAACCCAGCATCGTTTGTTGCCCAACAGGCCCTTCACAACCAGCTCTATTTGTTGCAGATCTTTACATTAAATTATGTGTGTACGTCCACTTGGTTCAACCCAAGTATTTCAGTCACAATGACTGTGATTGCAAAAGAGTAGTTTCAGGTCTAATCTTCATACTGACCGACTGAATCATAAGGATAAAAGGAAGGATCTGGTTCACTTACTTCCTGCGTACACACTTCCAGATAATCCCAACTGTTAGTACTAAGACCATGATGAACAGAATAATGCCTACACTCATTAGTGTAAACAATAACCAGTTAGTTTTCTGAAAATAAGAAAAACGGGAATGTTTTTTATCTGTTTCATAGTACCAACTAGGTAATATTGATATCAAGTCAATAACAAACTGAATAACAAAACAAGATAATATAATCTTTATAGCCTTCACCGAATATCTAATCGAGATCGAAGTAAAAGAGTGAAAATCTTTCACCAAGAGGTACAAAATCGAAAAAGTTTAAACCTTTCCAAGTTTGTGCAAGCTGCTTCCATTACTTCCCATTCTTTGAGATTAAGTTTTGCAAGAAAGGATTGAACTTTGCCCTGTGAAGGTATCTACTGTATACCTTCTAATTCAACCTGCAGTCCATAAATACTTCATGAAAGCAGAAACCAAGGGAGTACCAATATGAACTCTTCTCATCAATCTACTGAACATGGCAAGAACTAAAGTGTTCACTAAAATTAGATTTGTTTATTTGATATATATATCAAATAAACAAATCTAATATGGAACTACATTCTACCACAGTGCCCAAGTTTTTCACTTATGTTCACTAAAATCTTTAGGGGCTTAATGACCGTCACAAACCAATCAACAATACGTATCTCAATCTGGTATTATAGGCAAACAGAAGATTCAGCACTCACTCACTCCAGTTCACTTTCGTGAATAAATTAGCTTCGTTTATCTATGCAGACGAGACCGACAGTTTTTTATTAGGCATTAGACCTTATTATTTTATTATTATTATTAGTCCCTTGGGTTCCTAGTGGAACATAGGGCTTCAGTAGCACGCCTCCAGTGACCTCTGTTCTCTGAGATCTTTTGAACCTGGTTCCACGACAGCCCACAAGCTCTCATTTCCTCCTCGCATGACCTCCTCCATGTCACCCTCGGACGTCCAACTCGTCGCTTCCCATGGGGATTCCACTCGAGGGCCTGACGCGTGATGTCCTCAGTCGGCCTTCTCAGTGCATGGCCAATCCATCTCCACTTCTTCCTGCATATTTGTTGCGTGATAGGTTCTTGGTTGGTTCGTTCCCAGAGTTCCTTGTTGCTTATTCTTTCTGGCCATCTGATCTTCAGCAGCGAGCGTAAGCAGTTGTTGATGAATGTCTGTAGTTTATTGGAAATGCCTTTCGTGACGCGCCAAGTCTCTGAGCCATACAAGAGCACTGACTTGACGTTGGTGTTGAAAATCCGTATCTTGTTCCGCATGCTGAGTGCAGAAGATCTCCACACTGGTTTCAGGCTAATGAACGCCTGTCTTGCTTTTCCGATTCTGACTTTGACGTCCTCGTCCGTCCCGCCTGTAGTTGAAACAGTGCTTCCTAGATAAGTGAAGGAGGTTACTTCCTTCAAGTTTCTCCCGTTGACGGTGATTGGAGTTTGTTGTTGTTGTTGATGGTGGTGGTGCGGTATCTTCATCACTTCTGTCTTCTCTATATTCACCTGAAGTCCCGTCTTCGCTGCCTCTTCTGTCAACTTGTTAGTTTTTGCCTGCAGATCTTCAAGTTTGTGTGACATTAGGCATAAGTCATCGGCGAAATCCAAGTCTTCTAGGTTCTTTTCCGTCGTCCAGTGTATCCCCCTCTTCTCGCTGCCTACTGTTTGCTGCATGATCCAGTCCACCACAATAAGGAATATCATGGGGGATAGTAGGCAACCTTGTTTCACTCCTGTCTTCACTTCAAAGGCATCACTGAGCTTCCCATTGTGGATTACTTGGCATGTGGCATCTTCATATAGTTGTTGAATGAGGCGGATAAAGGTTTGCGGTACTCCGTAGTATTGAAGCAGTTTCCAAATTACTTCTCGGTCGACGCTGTCAAAGGCCTTCTCAAAGTCGATGAAGTTGAGGCAGAGAGCTGATTGCCATTCTATGCTCTGTTCTATGATGATACGAAGCGTTGCAATTTGGTCTGCACATGATTTGTACTTCCTGAAGCCTGCCTGTTCCGGTCGCAGTTTTGAATCCAGTGCGTCTTTAAGCCTCTCCAGGATGATGCGGCTTAATATTTTACTTGGGGTGGACAGGAGAGTGATTCCGCGCCAGTTCTTGCAAGCACTGAGGTCTCCCTTCTTCGGCAGTTTGACAAGGTAACCCTTCTTCCAATCGTCAGGTACCTTCTCTTCCTTCCACACCTTCTGCAATAGTGGTGTGAGCATGTCCGCTGTTGTCTCTGCATCTGTTCTCAGTGCTTCTGGCGGTATTCCATCTGGTCCTGCTGCTTTCCCGCATTTCAGTAGCTTTATGGCGTTCAGGACTTCCATTTTCGTTGGGGGATTTAATATTCACTTGTAATTCAGCGGCTGCAGGTGGTATTTCTGGACGAAGTGCAGGTGGTGGTCGATTCAAGAGCTTCTTGAAGTGGTCGGCCCATCGTTTCCTCTGTTTCTCTTCTTTTGTAATTAAATTTCCTTCTTCATCTTTTATTGGTTTCATCTGTGTTGGTCTCTTCCCTGATAGCAACCTGGTTATTTGATACAATGTCGTCAGGTCTCTCTTACCTGCAGCCTGTTCTGCTTCACTTGCCAGTGTTTCGTAGAAGTGTCTTTTGTCTTTGCGTGCACTCTTCTTCACTTCTTTGTCCAGTGTTTTATACATTGTGCTCAGTTCCTCTTGTCGTTGAGCATCCTTGCACTGGTTTATCTTCTGCTTCGCCATCCTCCTCTCCTCTATCAGCTTCCAGGTATCCGTCGAGATCCATTCCTTGTCTTCTTTCTTCTTCCTTCCTAATACTGTTGTGCAGGTTTCTTTCCACATAGCTTTCAAAGACTTCCAATGTTCTTCTACACAGGTTTCTTCAGGGATGTTGCTCGATATCTCCCATTTTGTCTTGATGGCTGATGTGAAGATCTCCTTTGTAGTTTCATCCTTCAGTTTCCGAGTGTTGTACTTGGGTTGAGGTCTATCACCAGCTTCCTTGAAGGCTTTTAACTTGATTTGGAAGGTTCCTTGCACTAGATAGTGGTCTGAACCTACATCTGCTCCTCTTCTTGACCTTGTGTTAAGTAGACTGCGTCTCCATTTTCTTGAGATTGAGATAAAGTCGATTTGATTTTTAGTGTGTCCATCTGGTGAAATCCATGTCACTTTGTGGATATCTTTGTGCTTGAACACACTGCCTCCAATTACCAAATCGTTGAGTGCGCAGAATTCTGCAAACAATTCTCCATTCTCATTCATTTCACCTAGCGCCTCTCGACCCATGGTTAGTTCTCTTCCCGTGTTGTCCCCTCCCAGTTTGGCATTCATGTCGCCCATTAGAATTTTGATATCGCCAACTGACGTCTTGTCCAGTGTTGATTGAAGTTGTCTGTAGAAATCCTCCTTTTTCTCTTGCTCTGCATTATTTGTAGGTGCATAACATTGTATGATTGTGACCTTTCTTCCTTTTGAGTTGAATCTTGCTGTCATGATCCTGGAGGAGATTGGTTCCCACTGCATGAGAGCAGCCTTCGATGCTCTTGAGGACATCATGATAGCCACTCCCTCAGTGTGCTCGTGGTTGGCGTCTGGGTGACCGGAGTAGATTATTGATTCTCCAGTTGACAGTTTGGAGAGTCCACTCCCATTCCATCTGCTTTCGCAAATCCCAAGCACTTCGATGTTATACCTTCTCATCTCCTTTGCAATCTGGGCTGCCTTACTGGGTTCAAACATCGTACGGACATTCCATGTCCCCACGTTTACTTTCGCTTTCATCGAGAGAAGACACATCGGCCAATTGGCTTCCCGAAGGTCTTTCACCTGTTGGCGTCATTTCGCCTCTCCGATTCCAGCGGGGAATGAGTTTGTTTTCATTTTTTATATTTTGTTTGTGCTTTGAAGTTTGTTTAGCGGTTAGATTTGTTTTACGGGGTAGGGTTGCTAGCCCTATGCCCAACCTTCCCTCTTTACCCGGGCTTAGGACCGGCTAGTAACTAGTAAACTAGTCAACATGACCTTTCACTAGTTTGAATAGAAAATGCTATGTATATTTTATTTGTTCAAGTTGTGTGATGAAATCAAATGGTTTGCCATTCTTATGTGAATTGGTGCTCTTGGTCTAAAATAATTCGACAGCTGGTACCACCACACAAAAGATTGTTTCTAGAGACACTAAAGGCTTGGTGTCATTGGTCCCTTCACTGCATGTACTTCAAAATATCATGTAACTGGAACTTATAGTTGAAAACAAAGAACTATCGTACAGTGTGACCGCTGACTTATTTATGCCAGGCTGCCTTTTCAGCATATCAAATGCCGAAAATCATTTGAACATTTTCATCTATGATGTTATAGTTTGTAGGGTTTCCCCTGAGAACAGCATCATTCATTGGGACGTAAATACATCCGACTGATGAGTCACAAACAGGCGGAAACGCACATCCAGGAACCCACTGCTACTATCTATCATCAACGATATTTTCATGTCAGCACTCTGCCAACTTTACTTAACAAAATGCTTAGTTGACCAAGTATTAATTCATTTCACTTCCAGCATTCCTGCTTTCTTTAACACAATGTAGGGTTAAGATAAATTCTAAATAATCTTCATTACTTACCGGTGAAAAAAACATGTTTAGTCTTCTCATACCTGTTTCAATGTTCAGAAGACTAAATTTCTTTAGTTTTTCTGACAGCAATAAGACCTAATTTCGTGTAATACGTATCTGTTAAATTACTGCTGTTTTTTGTCGAATGAAATCCTGAACTATCATGACCGAAATTGCTTAACTGTTAAACTACATATACTATGAAGTAAACGGAATTGAAACTAGTATTTTAAGCCATCGGTCTCTGAAGCGGAAGTTTTTGATATATGCTGCCATATAGTCATGATGATCTCAGTAAGGAAACTGATATTTCAAAATGGATTATTAAGAGTAATCCATTTGGTGTATACGTGAAACAGTAAATATATGCTGCACTTTGTTTAGTATAAATATTTCTTACAACCGCAAGTCAGCCTTTGATATTTTTCGAGTTAAATAAAGGAGTTTGATTGCGTTAGCGCATTCAGTATCATCGTCCAATTACCAACATCGCCAAATCTATACGGTGACTTAAACATCTTTGCTAAAACTAAATGCGAGTAGGGAGAATAACCATCACTAAATACTTTCAGTCGTTTAAACTCGAAATGATATCTTTCCGTGCTATTTCAATCAACTAAAAAAGTTAAAATAAACATGTCCACATTATCTTGGGCGCGATTTCCAATAAATCGATCTCGAAACTAAACTACAACACTTCTCAACCCTGAAAAAGACCTAGAACTATCTTATTTCATAAAGGAATTTATTATTTCGGCTACTTCAGTCAGATAGAAGTCACTAACGATCCAGTTAGTTTGCTGAGACTTTTACACAACTTTCAAATCTCATGTGCCGTAGGAGGTAGTCATTAACGAAAACTTATTTTACGTCCGCTGATTCTATTCATCTCATAGTCTTGTTGCAGAATCTTTTACTCTGTTAGAAAGTGTAGTCGAACAACTGCCACTGAACTCTTTTGAGAACTTTTCCCTAATATTCGGGTTAGTCATTTTCACCGTCACCTTTGTGGCCATTTCCTCTCTGAACACTATAGTCAGATATTTCGAAGAACTTGATTCATAAGCACAGAGATTCAAATAATGAATTCATAAGAAATGAAACATTACTTACCGATGGTAATGGTTCCGCAGGTATCTCACATCTAGCTCCTATCCATTCAGGTAAGCACACACATCTCACTTCAAATCTCAGTGGATGTTCAAAACATGTCCCACCATTTAGACAAACCGCAGCTACTTCAGTATTATTAGGACCATGTTCTGTCGATTGATTATCATGAAGTTTAATTTTCATTGCTTCTTCTAGACATGCTGAACGTCTTTCAGTACATCTATGACCCGTCCATTGTTCAGTGCATATACATGTAAAACTTTTGTTATAGTGTCCACCTAACTGACATTCACCGCCATTCTGACATGGTTTCGACTGACATGGATTGTAATCTGAATAACACTCTGGTTCTGTCAAGTGAAAATTAGTGGAAAAGTAACAAATAATTATTACTGATCTGGAGGAGATTAGGAGTCTAATGAATTAACCATTCCATTTTCAGAAAAACTGAATGCGATTTAGAATTTGGGAGGCTCCGGATCCTTTAACAGTGAGCATGCTTAGTAATCTCACTATCCTAATAACCGAAAAGCCCCGAATTTTGCGGTGGCGGCCTTTGAAATAATGGCTGTGGTCATATTGAAAAGTAACTCCAATTAGATCAATTTAGCGTCAGTGATAAGAAGAAGAATGGACTCTCCATCAGCATTATATTTTGATTGTTGAAAGCCACCTAACCTTTTTGAATATTCATATACTAACCGTAGCAGACAAACAATATGCAATGTAACCTTTTATTACCTTCTCATTTCCAACTATTTGATGGAGTACACTGATAAATAGGCTTATCGAAATTGGGGTATGATCATGTATATCCTAATGAAGTCATAGATAAAGTGAGAGCCGCCAGTTTGAAACTAGTGACCAGTAATGATACAGACAACATGCTCTGATTTTAAAAGTAGCCAAGAATCTACTTCTAACCACACCGTCTACACTGTACCTATCTAGGCTTCTCTATTGCAAATAAGCAGACCAATCAATTCCTAAAACTCCAACATCACTTGTAAGTTTTATAACGCAACAGTATGTATTTTAACGTATTTCAAGCAGTAAAAGTTATGGGTTCCCGTTTAAATGTTAATTTTTTTGCACAAATTTATTATCAGGTCACCTTGATTATTGCTTTCGGTCCAACAGCTTATCAAGGTAAACATCAGTGTGATATTTAATAAAGGAAGAAATGTGAGGGTAAAAGGTGGATAAAATACGGAACAGTCCTCTATTAGAAGCTGTATGAATGAATTTTTATGCAGTTAGTATTTCGGAAACAAGTTTTCAACTGAATGATGCTTCACATTTTCCGTCAGTCAGTTGGTCAGTTAGAATCAGTGTTTGACTTCCCAATTGCCACATTTCATATCAGCGCATACAGGTAGATGGTACACACATGAAGAAAACAGAAATAAGCAAGAAAATAGTCAGACATGCTAGAAATACATCAAAAGAGAGAGATGATGGATTGCACAATAATGGAATTTGGCATAACGATTAGGTTGAAAATAGTATACAGTTGCATTTGTGCGACTGAGGTCTATCTCAAGTCATTTCACACAAGTTCTTCAACCAATGATTTCGGTTATCATGTGGTCAAAAAAGAGAAGTGAAATTTAAAGCATACGGCTAAGGTGAACGTTAAGAGAATTCATGAACTGAAGTCATGTTTATAACTAGTCACCCCTTACCTTTCTACAGTTTCATGTCATTGCAGGCAACATTGTGTAACAGGGTAGATGGTGAGTAGATATTCGTAGCATATATCTAGGCCACCTTAATCAGTGACAGTGCTTTTGTCATACCAAATTAACGCATGGATGAATTTACTTGTAATCGTAACTCTTTATATTCACAATCCACACACGGGTTACTTGCACAGCTTCACACGGTAAACTACATTCAGTGGAATAGAATACTGATAAACAGCACTTTCATGGTGATGCTAATATGACTAGTAATGCAGATTACTAACTAATGAATAGAACTTGATAACTTACAAAAGGGAAACCATCGGTGTTCTCTTTGGAAACTAGAATAGTTTACAATAATTCACTTTTATGAACAGGTTCATCCTGCAAGTTTCCAGTAATAAAAGTGAATTCAGTAGGTGGCTTAGGAAAATGATATGAAATAAATTCTGGCTAAAGCAGCATCATGAATAGTTTCGGTCAAGCAGTTACACCAACCTGAATTCTTCATACATTCACCTTCTTAAAGTGACTAATACACTTCATACTGTTACTGACTGGTTTAACTACATGTTAGAAATCCGTTTCAATTTATCTATAATTATCTAATAGTTTAATCTATACTTTTAGATTTGATAAAATTCTTGATACATGAACTTCACTGCTTGCATTATTTTCTCCTTGGTTAATGTGGCTAAAGTTTACAATAAGCTAGTCACTTACGCTTTTTATATAGTATTCACAACTTCCACGTATATTCGTAGAGTACATGCAGTAAGGAATCGTTATTAGTTTACATCGATGTCAGTTGCATTTCACTAATGATTTGATAGTTTGTAATCTAAAAACCAATGTCGTCTGAACGACAGCACTTCGTTAATCCACTTTATTTGTCACATTTCAACTAATTTAATTCCTTTTCTATAAGATTTAAAGTCATCTTTGCTCAAAATCTTTCTCTTACTGATTTCATCTTCATTTATTAGCTAACAGAAGTTAGTGGATCAGAGATCCTCGTTTAATTTTGCTCAGAAATATGTTTCTCCAAGAATTATCTCAAGTAAGTACCAATCAACATTATAGTTCACTTAGGTCCACTTTAGCTACGCATCTTTTAAACAAGTAATTAGAATTTGGCTGGCATTACATGGAAGTGACCTTTAGTAACATCTCTGGTGACACAAAACTGGGTGTCACTACATAAATCAAGACCATCGCAACTACGATTGATAAAATGGTAATAATTCAATCAGCGCTAAATCACTTGGTGAGACTATCAAACCACAAAGTGAAAGTTGGGTGATCTTAAGTCTTAAACAAACATTTCAAAAGGAGACCAAACAAAATATTGTAATAAGCATCAGAATTGGCGATGTACTAAGTAATTACAGAATAAATAGAGTTTTATAAGATTTTTCGTTATGTTATTTGGGCCAAAAATCTACGTGAATCAACCAAATACCCAACGCCATCTGCTGAAAAAGGCATATCTTGCAGATAAAAGGATAAGGTATGTTTACAAGGCTATGATCACTCAAAATGCTAGGTACCTATTATAAGTGAACGAACCTCAAAGACATTTTAATTTCAGATGCTGACTATACAACAAAATATTCCACTATTGTGCTACTTCACTGATATATGAATGAACAGAATCTGAGATCTAAATAAAGCTTCATTTAGCTAGACTTTCAAAAGTTGTTCGTAAAAAGCCAGGTAAACTTGGCAGAGTATACTTACAGAGGTTTAACCATAAACATAATCAGAGTGATGTAACAAATTGATCAAGACTCTACAAAGCTATCTGGTTCCCAGTTTAGTTTTGGATTTGCTGACTCAAAGAAACGAACTTATACCATCTATCTTGTCACAGTCTAAAATGCATCTTTTGGCCCTATCATTTTAATATTTTCCAAAATCATATTGTTGTCAATTTCGCCATATTCAAGTGCTCTGTCTTACCATTTATTGGTACAGCTAAAGTATGAATCTTATGTTGTAATCATAAATCAAAGTCATTATTCCCTAATATGTAAACAGATTCTGTCTAGTTGCATTATGCAACATTGACAAGTACTTTTCAGTATGTGAAGGCGAATCCATTTGGAAAGGAATTCTTAAATGATTTGTTCTAAGAGTTTCAGAGATCATACGGATGGATTGTTGTACCAGTCAGGATTAACCATCTTTGTGACTGACTTCAGCTGAAAACAAATCTAATCAGCTTTACTATAGGAAGTAGAGTTCAACAACCTATAAAACATCCTTTCTATAAGTATCGTTTGGACACCAAAGAGTTTACTGACTCACGAAGTCTTTTAATTGGTAGTCAAATAAACCAGAGATGAATTTTTGTTAGTTTGATTAAAATGGTTTGTCGCCCTACGTTTTCTCTAGGAAAATATACCGAAGTGAATGGCTTTGGAGCAGTTACTGACTAACTAGTAAACAGGCTATCTAAATAAGCTCGCTTAAGAATTGATAATTGACCATAGAAACTCAAACTAGCCTGAACCGTAGATCGTTTGCTTTCTTTTCCCAGGTTAACTCAAAATAAGAAACCCTTGACGACACCATTTTGAATAGTTCAACCGATAATTATTTTCGAAAATGTGACTTATTTAACAATTCAAACAACTCACTTTCTTCACCACCGCATATACAAACACGTCCAGTTTCATTTTCTTTGTTTACACATGTGGCATGATCTGCACATGGTTCAAAGTAACAGGAATCCTCTTTGTCGCATTCTGATCCATGAAGACCTAGGGAGGGCAAAGTAGGTTGTATCAGAATCATCCGGGAGACAGTACAAACCAAGCACTTAAAGGCGACAAATTTCGTTAGCTAAGATTTAAAGACGTATGGTGTAGTAATATTATGGTGGTGCTGTCACCAAACTGATCAGTCAGTGAAAACGAAAGTCATCAAATTGTGGTTTGATTCCGTTATTTTAAGCAGGTATATACTTATGACAACCTACTATGATAACCACTTACGTGGAAGATATTTTTCAGCTTGCATCAAGATTTTGAGGCTGCCATATGTTCTGTATTGTACAAACTCAGTAATCCTGGCTGGTTGGAGGCAGTCAGGAGGAAGCCCTGCTCGACCTACAGTTCATGCTTCTTGATACTCGTCAACAAGGAGTATCTGCCACCTCCACCGAAGTGGTCTCCTGTTAGATTCAAACCTTCTTCGCCCAGTGTTCAAGTTAGAGACGTCACCACCGAGCTATTCAGACTGCAACAAAACTTCTGCATAACTGGATTATATACCCTGAGTGATCATTGGAGAGCAGCTTATTTTCTTTTTATCTGGTCCTGAGTCCTATAAAGCGAATTGTTCGCTAGAAATCAGTCAGCACTCAAGACTAGGCAACTTGAGATTGCTGGTTCTCCAATAATCAACTAATGTATAAAATCCGACCCTACAGGATGTTAGTCACGGCCAGAATAGCTGAATGATAACATCTCTGACTGCAACACTAGGTAATATGAGTTGGAATCCCATAGTAGGCACTGGTTTCCTGAAGGTTGCAGATACGGCCTGCAGATGGGTGCCAGAAAGCATTATATGTGCTTCCTGACGATTAACTCCGACCAGCTTACATCCATCTAAAGGCACGATGGTGAATCTCTTTTCAGCCTTTCATTCTTATTCTAGTTCATGCTTAATAAATTCGTTAAAACGTTCAAGAGTGAGTTCAAAGAATTTATATTCCTTCTCATATTAAGGAAATTCAACCTCTAATCACTGTCATATAGTCGAAAAAGCTGAAGTGTATGACCATTCACCTCATTAGAAGTATCACAAATGGTCTAGTTAACTGGTTACACTTGTTTTTGTAGGTCGATTCATTCGACAGTATGTTTGCCGCAAACCAGTAGTACCTGTTAGAACAAGATTATTTGAATATCCTTCACTGCGGAAAACCAGCGCATACCATTATGTGCCCTGAGGTTAATGTGGATTTTTAAGGGTGTTATTCATTATAAACTAACACTGGCAGCAGAACGCTCCTTGTTGACATGTTTCCAGATAGATTTCCCGAAGTTTTAGAGAGAAACCATGACCTACGGGGTGAACCAGTCAAAAGAGAAATGGATAACAACTGAGAGTCTTGGTAGATAGTCTCACCACACAGCCAACTGACAGAGGTGAACAACTGTGCAGACTGAACCTCAACCTATCGGTAGAATCGTTGACGCTTTCCCGATGAAATTTCAGGGTGCTTAGTTCTATCACTGATAGGATCGTGGAAGCATACTGATGATGAGTCCCATACTACATAGAAACAGCTATCCAGTGCTACCAGCATTTCAGAGGTTCTCCAAATGATGTTAGTCCATGATAAATACTACCTTAACATACATTTCATTCCTTGGTCAACTGATAATTGAATCCCTTCACCAAAAGCTTTTGATTGGCTGACAGTTACTCCATTTCAAAACCCTTTTGGACATGACAGTTAATTCTGAAATAATTTCCTTTCTTGGACCTAACGTTTACCTACCGGTTGACTTTATGCTTAAATATCAGTTACCCGCAAATAATACAAGTTGTGCGTAAGCATTCTCAATGAAGATTTTATTATACTTACCTGGAACACAAATATAAGAGCCGTCTGAACTACAGGTATATCGAGATGGCTCCGGTTTACAGAACACATGGCAGTGTTTACCATAATAATGCTCAAAACAGCTCAATTTCATTCGTACGTTGACACTGAAATTAATGTCCAATAATAAAATGAAAAGTTAATAATCAGTGAAACATAGTAATGACATTTCAATTTATAAATTTAAATGTCTTTCTCATAGGTACACGAATAAACTACACTGTTCTGCACACATAAATGCTAGAAAGTCTAGGTGAATAATACCAATATCTATCTATCGGCAAGTGAATAGCACTTATAATCTCTCTCAATCTATGAAGATGCTACTTCTTTGTTGTCCTGAATTATCAATGAAACTAATTCCAAAGAATCCAATCAAATTGTTGTGATAGCTTGTGACTATCTATACATTTCATTATCTGAATGTTCGTAAACAGACTTGGGAATTTAAGGGTACCTAAATGACATTGTACATAAATCACTATGAAAATAATATGTAATAATAATATGAAATCGAACGCCTTAAAGTAATTAGATAAACAACAAAAAGCGTCCACTTTCCAAACGTCTCTCAATTCTCGTGGCCACCAGTAGAATAACTTATTTATAAAGTAAATACTGATGAAGTCACCTAGCTTAGAGATGAAACATTCAAGAATAAACTACAAAACTTGGAGAGCGTCCAACAACTGTTGAATTGCCATATGTTTATGGTATAAGAAAATATGATTGTACAGCTTTGAAAAATGATATCGTCGACAAACAACAATTCTCTTCGTTGAATAATCCCGCCTTTTCTCTATGATTAAATAGTCTTTTTAGGACAAAATGAAGGGTTCTTCTATCCGCAGTGTCCCGGAACAACTTACTTCATCTAAGGCAGATCACTGAAAATTAGGGAAAGTTAAGAAAACTACTAATCAGTAGAAAACATGTAATTCCTTGCTAAATCTTAAAAGTCAAATGATGTATCTAGAAAATTTGGTAAAAGGATAGTGCACCAACCGAAATCAAATGGCTTTAGAGTATTTTCACTACGGGAATGAAAATTGTCGGTTTTGTGTGACTTGTAAACAACACAATGCACACTCCAATTGACCCAATAGGTACATTTCACGCTAAATGTTTGAAAATCCACTTAATTACAAAGAAGGAGGAAAGAGGATAAATCAGTATGTTTACATTGATGATGTACTGATAAGAATGAACTAAAATACTGTACATACAGTAGTAGGCGTTGGTTGATAGCACTACGCAGATGAAAGAAAACATGTCTGTGTACGGTTTGACCTAACATAAAATAATTCTGAAATCTATGTTTCTATAGACAATAGAAACCGTAAAGATCAGACGCTTGAAGATTGAGGTTTTATCTAACAAACACTCACCTGTTAACATCAGTTTCAACGAAATTTTGTGAGTACAGATTAAAATCGTATAAACATAAACCTATGTTTTAATAAACATGCTTTCAAATCAATATTCCTATTATTTTTAGATGATGTATACCCAATTTTAGGTATTTTTGACATTTTGACACCCAAATCTGTTTGTTTTTCAGTATAATTTTTCTGTACGATTATGTATTGATACTTCGTGATCGTTGGAAGTCAGTACTTCAAAGTAAACGAATATCCGTATAAATCGAATCCGATTAAATGCATCTGTGTAGTTGCGTCGTAGGATGAAACTGTATACTATCCTGGTCTTAAAAAACCTAAATAAGTATTCAGTTCTCTCCTGAGAACCAGTGTATTATTATGCGCTTGAATGAAGGGTAGATCATTCTGCGAGAGAGTACTTAGTTTTTCTGTAGCATCATTGTCTTTGGGATGCTTTAGTGATTAGTGAAACCGATGGAATAGTAAAAAGTAGTGTGCCAGAAATCGTCACCCAGATAACTTACTAATTTTTTGAGTTCCCTACTCTTGCGGTATACATGAAATTTAATAATATTTTCTCAGATGACAATTTCTACAAAAGTCTTAAAATTTTCCATGATTTGCTGTCTAGTTATGGATGGATATCCAACAAAGTTTCTAGTCAGGCAAACGAATGAGCTTAACACAGAAATCGGAATAGGAGCATCTCCTAGAAAATGAGTGTTCTAAAAATGAATTCTGTCGGTGACATCATAAGCAAAACTGTCCTACAACACCTGAGGAATGATCTGGAAAACTCACAAAACGCATCAAAGTTATCCAGCATATTCTAAAAACGACGAATGCTGATTTAGTGAACTTCAGCTAAATATTCAATACCGACTGCCTGAATACGCTTAATTTATACGCATTTATCAGTTCAGCTGATGTAGAGGACTATCAAGACCACATCCTCATATCTCGCTGATACTAGGAATCAAATTGACGTTACTAGTAGTTTCAGAGTAATTCATCACATTCCTTCAAGACTAACGAATGTTTACTAGTTCATTTCTCACATACGTCAAAAGCCTTCATTATCCGTGAGAACTAGCTGAGCCTGTGTGCTCAGGAGAAATCCATTCAACCTCTTAACTTATCTTCTTCATCTGCATAGCCCATCTTTGCAGAGATGACTCTTTCTAATATTCATATGACGAACAACCATTATAACAAAATTATTACTATATTTTTCCACAGTTTTTCATTTCTAGTTTCTTTCCTAATTACTGTCAACAGTTGACCAATCGATATGATCACTCATTCCCCTATTTATCACTACTATGCAAACTATCAGCTGCGTAACAACTTCTCCAACCTTTAAGGAACTTATTGTATAATTATTTCACTCTCTAACTATTTTTGTGATTTACGTGAATAACTGCACACTTTGATAACTATGGTATTATAATCTGTTATTAAGTAAACTTTCACAGCTAGGCTGGTTTGTAATTTTGAAATGTCATGGGTTGATGTAGAGCCATAAAAGCGGAGTTGATAATTATTATTTGTCCCTTCGGTTTCTAGTGGAACAAACAACTTCAGTAGCACGTCTCCATTCCACTCTCTTCTCTGCAGTCTTTTCAACCTGGCTCCACCACTGCCCACAAGCTTTCATTTCTTCCTCACACCATCTCCTCCATGTCAGTCTCGAATGCCCAACTTGTCGTTTCCCCCGTGAGCTCCACTAGAGGGCCCGGCCTGTTGGTGATATTCCCAGTCGGCCTTCTCAGTACATGCTCAACCCAATCCATCGCCACTTCCTCCTGCAGATTTGTTGGGCGGTGGGTTCTAGGTTGGCTCGTTGCAGGCCAGAGTTCCTTGTTTCTTATTCTTCTTATTCCGGTCATCTGATCTTTTCGTAACGTGCCAAGTTTCTGAACCATAAAGAAGCACTGAATTGACTGAATTAGTGTTGAAAATCCGGATCTTGTTCACCCTTTGTGCTGAGTGCAGTAGATCTCGATACTGACTTCAGATTAGTGAGGGCCTGACTTGCTTTCCCGATCCTAGCTTTGACATCCTCATATGTGCTGCCGCCTGTAGTTAAAACGATCATGCTTTGCCTAGGTAGATGAAAAAGACAACTTCCTTAAGATTTCTCCCGTTAACGGTGATGGTGCTTGTTGTTGTGGTTGCTGGTTGGGTATCTTCATCACCCCTGTCTTCTGTACATTCACCTGAAGTCCCGTCTTTGCTCCCCTACCTGTTCTCCCCACTTGCTAGTCTTCGCTTGTAGATTTTCAAGTCTGTGCGACATTTGACAGGATTCTCCATCAAAATCAAAATCTTCTACGATCTTTTCATCGGTCTAGCCAGTGTATGCCCATCTTCTCGCTCCTCACAGTTTGCTGCATAACCCAGTTCAGTCGACCACAATCAGGAAGATCATGGGTGATAGTAGGCAGCCTTGTCTTTCTCCTTTCTGTCTTCACTTCAAAGGCATCACCGAGCCTTCCATTGTGAATCACTTAGCATGTAGCATCATCATACAGCGGCTGTTGAATGAGGTCGGTAAAGGTTTCTGGCACTAAAACCGTAGTGTTGAAGCAGCTGCCAAATTGCTTCTCAGTCGACCCTATCTAGGGCCTTTCAAAGTTGATGAAGTTGAAGCTGAGATAGAGAGTTAACTGGACTACCATTCCACGCTCTGTTCTATGATGATGCATACCGTAGCGTTGCAATTTGATCCCCACATTATTTTTTCTTCCTGAAGCAAGTCAGCTTGGTCCGGTCATAATTTTCAATGCAACGCATTGTTTAGTCTCACCAGGATGATGCGGCCTAATATATTGCTTGGTGTAGACAGGAGCATGATTCCCCGACAGTCCTTGCAAAGACTCGGGTCTCCCTTCTTTAGAAGTTTGACAAGGTAGCCCTTCTTCTAATCGCCAGGTACGTTTTCTTCTTTCCTAACCTTCTGCAGTAGTCAGACGAGCCTGTCCGCTGTTGTCTGTGCGTTTGTTTTCAGTGCTTCTGGAGGACTTTCATTTGGTCCTGTTGCTTTCCCAGCATTCAGCAACTTTATGGCTTTCATGACTTCACGTATGATTTTGTCAAAGGGCTTGTGTTCACTAGTAGTTCTGTGACTGGACTGCAGGTGGTATTTCTGGATGAGTTTCAGGTGGTCGTAGTGGTCGACTTAAGAGTTTTTTGAAGTGGTCAGCTCATTGTTTACCTCATTTCTCAACTTTGATAACCGGGTTTCTTACACTATCTTTCATTGGTTTCATCTGTGTTGATCTCTTCTCAGATAGTAACCTGGTTATTTGATATAATGTTGTCAGGTTTCTGTCTCTCCTACCGGCAGTCTGCAGCCTGTTCTGCTTCACTTGTCAATGTGTCCTTAGAAACGTAGAAACATATTCGTCATTTCACGAATTAGGCAAGCATATTTAAAAAAAAATAATTTTCAGTCAAAAAAAATCCGATATCATTTCTTGGTTAGCACCTTTTTTCATCATTAGTATGCCCACTTTCAACTGCTTCTCGGTAGGTACACTTGCAAACATGGCGGTGCACTTTGGTTCTGTGTGGTTGGAATAGAATGTCATTTTGCTATGGACTTGGTTTCCATGTATATTACCACTCCACGGAATGGTGACAGTGAACTAGTTTTGCCCAAAAAATGGAGATATGCCTTTTTGACAAATATAAAGAAGCTTGAAATTACAATTCAGAAATTT